TTCCGTTCCCAAGATTCCTGCTCTTCGCTGGAGGCTGGAGGGCAGGGCGCGGTGCAGGGCGCTGCCCGTGCAGGGTGGGGGGGAGCGGGGTGCGGCCAGGCAAGAAGATGCCTGCAAACCCAGAGATAGCATCAGCTCCCGGATAGGACACTCAGTTAGGGTGGCTTTTGGAAATAATTTCCTAAAAGGTGAGATTAAACGGGATCGCTGGAGATTTTGCAAATGGTAATCGTGGAGCACACGTGAAACCCCCAGTTTAGAAACACCTCCAATCTCTGTCCAGTGGGGTAGATTAAGACCCTCCTGACCACACCATGTCTCTGTTTCCCTTTGACTCATCCGGCCACCAACTTTTCAGCCTGATATGTTGGCATCACCCTTGAGAAGCACAGTTTTCATTTTATAGAGACCTTAATGGGGCTCACAAAACAGTCCGGTGTTTGAAGTAAGCTCTTCAAAGCGAATCTCCAGCACAGCCCTGAGACTCCACCTCAGCCTCCCCCCCCCCCCCCCACCAGCTGTGTCCCGGGCGGGGGAGTCTTTCCAGGTGCACTTTTCTCCCGTGTCTGCGCCCTTTCACCTCTGTAACCTGTGACAGTTCCCCATGACCCCCTCGTCCTCCACACACAAAGAAAAGAAGAAAAAAGGAAAGGGGAGATTCCTAGCGGAACAGAAATTGTTAGGGGTGGTGAAAACTGACTCGCACCAGTTCAGTTGCTGAGATGTCTCTACCCCGTTACAAATACTGAGATTCTTTTAAATATGTGCTCAGTATTGTCCACCGTATAAAACCTGCCTTGGGAATTGCATTGTTATCTATTATATATTAGAAATAGTATGTAATTGGACGCAGTTAACCTACCTTTTTGCTAAAATGGCTCTAATTCAAAAGGAATTCAACGTGGTGTTGTTTTATAGCAGGGGTCCTCAAACTACGGCCCGCGGGCCACCTGCAAATACAAATATTGTATTTGTTCCCATTTTGTTTTTTTACTTCAAAATAAGATATATGCAGTGTGCATAGGAATTTGTTCATAGTTTTTTTTTTAAAACTATAGTCTGGCCCTCCAACAGTCTGAGGGACAGTGAACTGGCCCCCTGTTTAAAAAGTTTGAGGACCCCTGTAATTTATAGCATACCATGCTTTCCCCTGGGACTATATGAATTCTGCCCGAAACCTATGTTGACAAATTGGCATTCCACCTTTTCAGGTTTTATAGCATTAATTAAAGAGAATGTGTCATGTGGCTCCTTTAGCAGAAAGACTTTTTTTGTTGTTCTTGATAACAATGGACATAGTCATCTTTTTAAAATAAAAATGGGTATAATACTTCCTGTTATTTTTTGCCTTGGTGAAAAAAGCTTAAGGCAAATAAAGGAAGTAAATGAGAACTAGTTTATGTTAAAGCCACGATCATAAGGAAGTCAAAGTTTTAGTATATATTTAGGTCGATGTATTTAGATCGGCGCATTATCCGCTACCTTTTCAAAAGGAGATTGTTGCTGTTCACACTGATATGTAGAGCCCAATCCTGAATCACCTTCTGAATCACTCATGCCTCTAAGCCCATGCACATTTTTGGGCTCTGTTGTAATTCCCTTGGCACTGGGCATTCCATATATGGCACCTGACTTGTGGTTAATCATCCTTTTCATGTAACTGGAATCCCATCTTACCCAGCGTTTGTTAGAAGGAAATTTGGTGGAATCATCTCAGCCCTGAGAATACTCAGGTAAATCTTACAGGTTACCTTTGAGATGTTAAGAATTTGAAAGACGATATTTCTACTTTGCAGAAGGCAGGGTACACAGAAAAAATTATGAATTTAAAATTCCTAACTATTATGCTCAGTCGAGACAATGTCTTTATTTTTAAGACACTCCATAAATTTCAGTTCCTTAAGCTTCTTTTTCCTTCATGAAAAAGGGTGTTCTTTTAGAAGCCCACCTTGTACATTCACTGTAAAACTGAACAGCATGCAAAAGTGAAGCGATCTCAAGTAGCATCTTTAGTCTTCACTCTCCTTTTGGCATTAGGTTTTTCTATCAGTATTTAATGATTTGTATGATAAGCTTTGTATCATATGATTAATAAAATTGGGCAGTACCATAATATGAACCAAGGCAATTTATTTTCCCAGACTACAGTAGATAATACTTTATATTATCATTCTTTAAAATTTAAATTGTTATATTTTGATTTAAAGTTGTTTGCAACTCTAGGTTATATAAATCAGCTATTTAAAGTTGTCCTGAAGGGTTCTCATGAAAAGAGAGATTTTGTAACTCCAATAGCCAACCCATAATTGACCAATTTGTAAAAAAGTCTTTTTGAACGTTGCAGTTTTTATTGGGCACTCTTTTATATAAAAGTTATTTTAAAAATAACTTTAAAGGTCAGTACTTCACCATTGCTAATCTGATTATGCCTTAACATTTTTTTACTTTATTTTCAACAACATATCCAGTCCCCACACATATAGTATCAAATCACTTTTACTTTCAAGAAGCAAGAAATAACTGAAGTCTATATATGAATTTCACCCCTCTAAAAATGATATTAATGAATTAATTGCATATTCTTTCTAATGAGGTACTACACAACAATGAAAATGAACTACTGCTGTATATTCAGCATGCATAACTTTCACAAACATAGTTTGAGCAAAGAAACCCAGTGTCCACAACAAGTATGTGGCTGCATATATTTAAAAGCCCAAAATTGGCAAAATACACCTGTATCTTCTTGGGGAGGAAAGGAAATGCAATTGGAAAGAGGCCTTGAAGATAACAGTAATGTTTTATTTCATAACAATGAAGGTGGATGTTCTAGTTTTCATTTTATTATTTTAAAAAATACCTATTTATGCTATATGTAGTCTTTTGTATTTATGTTTTAGAAAGAACATTAAAAAATAAACAAGCAATAGAGGGAATGAACAAAGCCAAAGGTTCTTTGAAAATATAAACCTTGCTATGATTGAGCAAGTAAAAAATAGGGAGGCACAAATCCAACAGTATTAAGAATAAGAAGGAAGCATACTTATCAAGAGTTTTAAAAAATAGATACTAATATTAATAGATTATTCCAATTAATTTGAAAACAGAGTTGGGCAATTTCTTACAAAATTCCAATTGCCAACATTGACTCAAGGGGGTATACAAAATCTAAATAGACTTAGAACCATTAAAGGCATTGGATTAGGAGCCAAACACACGCCTTCATTCACATCCATCAGGCCCAGGCCTGTGATAGGTGAATTCTTCCATAGTTACATGGAACAGGTAATTTGTACCTTATATAAGTTATTTCAGAGAACAGAAAAAAGTTACCTCATTTTCTGAGGATTGTATGAAGTTGAAAAGTAGTAGCTTGATCATATTTATGGACATGTACTTAAAATACTAAAATAAATAGCAGGAAATAGAACTAATAATGTCTTAAAGATTATCATGCCCTATAAGGTTTATCACAGGAATGCAAAGATGGTTTCACATTAGAAAATTTATTATTGGATTTTAACATAGTAATATATCCAGAGAGAAAAGAACATATGTTCATTTCAAAGTAAGTGGATAGCTATCTTTATCGTTATAAAAATTCTGAGCAAGCTAGAGATATAAGGGAATAACCCTTCTTAATATAATGAAGCCTACTTAAAATGAATGAATGTGTGAATAAAAGGAAAAGAGAAATACTCAAAATTAATGGTGAAATGCTAAAAACATTCTCTTTAAAGTTAGAAACAAACCCATGTTGGTCACTATAACTGTCTTTATTCAGCAATCTACTGGAGGTACTCACAAGCACACATTAAGATAAAAATCTAATTGCTATTTTACCTGCTGTAGGATTAGCTTCATGGGAGATCCAACACTATCTTGACAAACTACTAGAGCTAATAAAAGTAAGCAAGTTTTCTGGATAAAAAATCTAAAAGGATTTTGACCAGCTGATCATGAAAAAATTGTGGAAGAGTAGAAAGCTGAATAAAACTAACCAGATGACAGGGATTGAGGTCACCATAACTAATACCATGTTTATTTTGGTCTTTGGGTCCCTTGCATTTCCTCAAGAATTAATGTTGAGTTGTTCCAATAAATAAATTAATTAATTAATAAAATAAAGCTATTTGGGATTTTGATGGAGATTGTATTGCATCTATAGATGTAATTTGGGACTATGTCTTCTGATGTATGAAGATGACATATCTGTTTTGAAGGGCATTGTTTGCTTGTGGTTTCAGATATTTTTTATTGCTAGCGTACAGGAATGCCATTGACTCGTGTATTTTGGTCTATGTTCTGCAAACTTGTTCAACTCATTTATTATTAATATTATTTTTGGGTGGACTTCTTAGGATTTCCTATGTACGAGGTCATATCATCTGCAGATAGAGATGAGTTTACTTCTTTTCCAGTCTGGATGCCTTTAGTTTGTTTTTTCTGTGATTCCCTGGCTGGCAGAGCTCCAGGCAGTGCTGAATGGAGGGGGGAGAGCAGGCGTCAGATTGCCCTCAGGGCAGAGGGAAGCAGCCCTCCCTGGAGTGTGATGGTAGCTGTAGGTCTTCCGTAGATGCCCTCGCTCCTGTTGAGCAAGGTCCCTTTTATTCCCAGTTTGTTCATTATAAATGGGTGTCGAATTTTGTCAAGTGCTTGTTTTACATCTGTTGAGATGATCATGTAGTTTTATTGTTTTTTTAAAAAAATACTTTATTGAGGTAAGATTTACATACACAAAGCTGGACATGTTTAATGGTACAACCTGGTGAGTTAGATAAGTATAAATCTGTGACATCATCGCCACCGTCTGTGCCATAAACATATCCATTACACTCACAAGTTTCCTCCCACCCTCATTAGTATTATTTTAACAGGAAGTGTACAGTACAGCATTGTTAACTATAAGCACTGTGCTAGACACATCTCTAGAACTTACTTACGTTGCGTAACTAAAACCTTGTTCTTTATTCTGTATCTTATTCATGCAACCTTTTTTTTTTTTTTTTAATTCTAGGTCTTCAGTTTTGCTTGTGAAGCCTGCAAAAAGGTGATATTTCAGACACCTTCTACACTAGAGGCAGACAAAATGCTGGGCAGAGGTGAGCAATTTCAAAATGGTGTTTTTAGAACAGAAACGAGGTTTGCCTACCCTGGAAAGAGCAGCTTGCCCAATCTGTGCATTGTGGAATTAGCCTGCATATTTGTAATTAGAGACAAGTCAAGATAATTTAAATATATGTTTCTGCTCTTTATACCTGCACTGAATTTGAGGTGAGTGCTAAGGTTCCAAGCCCTGTTTCTGTGGCCATTCAGGCTTTGAGGGTCTAACAATTACATGAAGACTTACATGTAGAAAGCCCTGCATCGCTGTAGGACTGCAGCCCTTGAGAAGGACAGGTAGGGCGCTGAGCGATCAGGGCAGGGTTATCAGTGCTGGGGCTGCCTCCGGGGCATGGCCAGGGGAGCCACTCCATTCAACACAGAACTTAGCCCTTTGCATCCTGAGGAGTTAGGGAGCCTCAGACGTTCCCAGCATCAGGGAAGCTCGGCCCAGGCCGACTTTCTCCGTGGTACAGGGAATATTGGAGGAAAGTGTCATGATAGGTTTTTTAAAAAATATATTTTATTGATTTCAGAGAGGAAAGGAGAGGGAGAGAGAGATAGAAACATCAATGATGAGAGAAGCATTGATCAGCTGCCTCCTGCACAGCCCATACTGGGGATCGAGCCTGCAACCCAGGCGTGTGCCCTGACCAGGAATCGAACTGTGACCTCCTGGTTCATAGGTCGATGCTCAACCCCTGAGGCATGCCAGCCAGGCATGTCATGATGTTTTAAAAAAAGATATAGCTCTTCCCAGAGATACCAAATAGTTTTTCAACAAAGTGCACCGTTTCTGGTTATAGTGCCTCATTTACTTTTATTAAACAAACTAGAGGCCCGGTGCATGAATTCGTGCACCAGTGGGGTCCCTTGGCCTGGCCTGCGGGTTCGAGCCGAAACCAGCTCTCTGACATCCCCTTAGGGGTCAAATGCAGGAGTTTGGCCAGCTGGGGAGGGGCCGTGGGAGGGCCTCAGGGCATGTCTGGCCCATCTCACTCAGTCCTGATGGACCGGACCCCAGCAGCAAACTAACCTACTGGTCGGAGCGTCTGCCCTCTGGTGGTAAGTGCACATCATAGCGAGAGGTTGAGCGGCCTTAGCATATCGTTAGCATATTATGCTTTAATTGGTTAAACGGATGACCAGACACTTAGCATGTTAAGCTTTTATTATATAGGATGTCACTGTTATTCCTATGGAGATAAAGAAAGGAGCTACTGTAGAGAGTGGCCAGGGGTGTTCCTCTTCAGAAAGAGACCGGAGCTTGTCGCTGTGCTAAAAATGCAAAGAAGAGAGAAAGAGGTCATTGCTCCTGAAGACGGGCACTTCTTTCTGACTGAACGCTCCCCCCTGACTGGGATGAGAGAGAACAGGATGCATGGGCAGCGTGGATTCTCTGTGAGGTTCCCACTTCAGTGAGTACTTGTTTACCAGCGTGGTTCTGTGAAGGCAGCCAGTTGAAGAATGGGGTGGATTTGCTATTTTGATATAAGTATCAAAACACTTAAAGTGATACTTATATTTGCTTACTCTTTATTAGAGGGCAACATTCCCAGAGAAAGAAGACCCCGTGTGGCCTTTTGGTGGGGAGTTTTGCAAAACTATGAACACAGAGGACTGTGAGCTCTGGAGGTGGGGGAGGGTGCTGGTGAGGGGCTGAGGGGAGTGTTACAGAGAAGTGCCCGTGGGAAGAATTCGAAGGTAAAGTTGACTGTTTTCCTTACTTGACTGTTTTCCTAACTCATACACTGCCTGACTGGCTGTGTAGGCTGAAGACAGTCGTAAAAGACTCATAGTCAAGTGAGCGTCTGTTTATTGATTCAGGTGTGTGGGGGTGTGTAGCTCAGCTTTGTCATGACTGCAGTACACACACCTCTTTCATAGGAAGATCCCTTTCCTAGCCTTTGAGAAGCACAGGAAATCTTAAAGCCCCCTCCTTCATACAAATATCCAATCAGGACTGTTTTTTTAGCTGAAAGAAAATTATCCTTTCAAAAACACACATGTAAAGAGACTGCTTAAGATATTTGTTACATGCACGGTGATTGGTCTATTTCTGCCTCCTGGTTTTGAAGACGACTGTAGAAATCATTTTGCTACATTTTTTTTCTGTTTGCATGCATTTCTACTTTACAACATGGACATTTTTACTCGCAGTGAATTTGGGCGAGTGCCTCAGGTCTGCGGACCTCATCCAGTCCAGCGACCCTGACTTCAGAGTTCTCCGTGACGGGTCCGTCTACACGGCCAGTGCTGTTGTGTTATCTGATGAGAGGAGATCATTCACCATTTGGCTTTCCGACACAAAGAAACAGACACAAAAGGAGATTAATGTGCTCCTGGAGCCTCAGAAAAAGGTATGGAAAGTGCATTGATATTTTCAGGCACGTCTTTCTTTTCATTTAAATATACATAGTTTTTAAATCGCAAAGAGGACCAAAGAATACATAGGATTTTTTCCTCTCCTTTTCCCTTACCTTGTGTGTGCTTTCCCTTCCCCTCTCCCCTTTCTTAGCACTGCTAAAACCCGGATTTTGCTTTGTGGAATCTAAATGACACCTCCTCTGTGAAGACTTCTTCCACTGCTAAAGCCCAAGTAATTGCTTTTGTGAGCCGGTGGGAATTTGGGTTACCCTCTATTGCAACATTTTGAGTTCTTTATTAAAAATATTTTTATTAATTTCAGAGAGGAAGGCAGAGGGAGAGAGAAATAGAAACATCAATGATGAGAGAGAATCATTGAACAACTGCCTCCTGCACACCCGCATTGGGGATCGAGCCCACAACCCGGGCATGTGCCCTGACTGAGAATTGAACCGTGACCTCCTGGTTCCTAGGTTGACGCTCAACCACTGAGCAATGCCGGCCAGGCAACACTCAGTTTTTTATTAGTGCAAACAATTTACCTGCGGCTGTTTGAGGGCATGAATTGACCCCCTTTTTGCTGATAGTGTTGGTAGTACCTGACCCATCCGTAGCCAGTAGTGTATGTGACATTAATGCTAAACGCTGTGGTTCTCAGTGACTATGAGGCTGGCGTCCAGCACCCACGGTGGTTCTGACGTTAGATGGGATGGAAGCCTGGAGCATGATAAGTAGGAGAAGAGTATGCATGGCCTGGCATTGGCCCCCGCCCAGGCGATCCCTCACTGCCGTTCTAGGGCACAGCCTGAGGAATGGAGTGGTCACAGAAAGGATGAAAGGTTTAGACTGGATTACGACTCATCCATGTGAAGTGTGTTAGTGATAAAGTTAATTTAAGTATCGGCTTCACACTTTAATAAGTGTTTAATAAAATTAATTAGTTAATTCTCAGGAAATAAAAGGTCTTCTTTGCTGTACACGAAATGAGATGGAAATCACTGTAACATCCCATGCAACTCTTTGCAGTGATGGAAATCCCATGGGACCCTCTGCCATGGCAGCCCAACACTAATGGCTGCCGAGCAGTGGGCATGTGGCGTGTAACCGAAGGATGGAATTTTATATTCTACTTACTTCTGATTAATTTACACTCAAATAGTCACATATGGCTACAGCAGGGCAGATGGAGTGGTCAGGCAATGAGGTATATTCTTTTTCTTTTGCTCTGGTTTGCCTGAGAGTTTGAGGTTTTAGCAGAAAGAACAAGCAAGAGCTGCACAGGAACTAAGGGAGCCTTAGCCGGTTTGGCTCAATGGATAGAGTGTCAGCCTGTGGACTGAAGGGTTCCAGGTTTGATTCCAGCCAAGGGCACAGACCTGGGTTGTGGGCTCGATCCCCAGTGGGGCGCGTGCAGGCAGAGGCTGATCAATGATTCTCTGTCATCATTGATGTTTCTATCTCTCTATCCCTCTCTCTTCCTCTCTAAAATCAATAAAAATATATTTAAAAAGAACTAGGGAGACAGTGATGCTTCTGCTAACTGGAGCGGTGGTCAGTGTTAGGAAGGTCTGCACCAGGAGATTCTCTTGTGTATGAAACCTTTACCATCTGCATACACTCTCTCTGACCCTCCTAAGGAAAAGACCTTCTTATCTGGCCTTTAGCTTCTGTGTGGAAATTCTTGAGATTGACCCTCCAGGGAGGTGTCAGGTGTATGGGCTGTTTGTTATCTTACCACAAAGTGGGTTGTGATGCTTTTGTTTATTAATTTTCTTTCTCTAAATGCAGGTCCTGAGGAAAAGACACGCTAAGGAAACGGTGCTCCGGCGAGCCAAGAGGCGGTGGGCGCCCATCCCCTGCTCCATGCAAGAGAATTCCTTGGGCCCTTTCCCTCTGTTTCTTCAACAGGTAGGTTTTGCATTCCTTCTGACTGGGCATGTTTTATTCCAAAAGCCTTTTTTATTCAAATTTAATAACTCTTTAAATGTTTAAAAAAAAAACAGGTTTGATTGAAGATATTAATAAAGCCATGAAATGTAATAAAAGTGAGTAAAGTGAGAAAAAATCAATAAAATCTATAATAATAAAAGCATAATATGCTAATTAGATTGGACAGCCGAACGACCTTCCGGACGTCATTCTGGACGTCCTTCCAGATGAAGCTGCTGTGGAGGAGGCTGAGGCAGAGGCAGTCAGGGGTGATTAGGCAGGCAGGCGAGCAGTTAGGGGCGATCAGGCAGGCAGGAAGAGTGGTTAGGGGTGATTAGGCAGGCAGGCAGGCGAACAGTTAGAGACGATCTTTTCACGTGGCCATGCTTAAAAGCAAGGGAGACAGAGAAATGTCTTTCTTTAGGGCAGCTTTGTTTTTGGCCATCACTTCTAATACAGTTTTACAAAGATTTTTTGGGGGGAATATTATTTTTTTATTTATTTTTTTAAAATATATTTTATTGATTTTTTACAGAGAGGAAGGGAGAGAGATAGAGAGTTAGAAACATCGATGAGAGAGAAACATTGATCAGCCGCCTCCTGCACATCTCCCACTGGGGATGTGCCCGCAACCAAGGTACACGCCCCTGACCGGAATCGAACCCGGGACCTTTCAGTCCGCAAGCCGACGCTCTATCCACTGAGCCAAACCGGTTTTGGCGGAATATTATTTTTTTTAATTAAACTTATTGGAGTGGCATTGTTTAATAAAATTATATAGGTTTCAAATATAAAATTATATGATACATCATCGGCATATTTCATTGTGTTCCATTATTTTTTGATTATTTTCATTTTAAAAAATTTATTGAATTTAATGGGTGACATCTATACTAATAAAAGGGTAATATGCTAATTAGACTGGATCAACCGGCTGTCTTCCAGACGTCTGAAGTCCTCCTGGATAAAGCCATGATGGTGGGGCCAATGCAGAGGTGGTTAGGGGCGAGCAGGCCGGCAGGGGAGCAAGCAGTTAGGGGTGCCATCAGGCCGGCGGGGGAGCAGTTAGTGGCGAAATCAGGCAGGCAGGCAGAGGCAGTTAGGGGTGATCAGGCTGGCAGGGGAGCAGTTAAGGGCGATCAGGTCAGCAGGTGAACAGGCCAGCAGGCAGAGGCAGTCAGGGGCGATCAGGCAGGCAGACAGAGTGGTTATGGGCGATCAGGCAGGCAGGCAGGTGAGCAGTTAGGAGCCAGCAGTCCCGGATTGGAGAGGGTGCAGGCCGGGCTGAGAGAGACTGCCCCCCCATCCCCCGTGCATGAATTTCGTGCACCGGGCCTTTAGTTGATTAATAAAATCAAATGTACAGTTCTATAATACATCATCTGCATATTGTATTGTGTGTTCACTACCAAAACTCAAGTCTTCTGTTACCATTTATCCCCTCTTTACCCTCCTCTCCCCATCCCCTTTATCTCTGGTAATCCACTATCCACGTTGTCTGTGTCTATGTGGTATTTATTTATTTCTTTGTTTGCTTAATCACTTCATCTTTTCACCCAGCCCCCCAAACACCTTTTTAGCTGTCAGTCTGTTCTCTGTATCCATGAGTCTGTTTCTGTTGTGTTTGTTAGTTTATTAGATTCTACATATGAGTGAAATCACAGGGTACTTGTCTTTCTCTGACTGGCTTATTTCACTTAGCATAATACTCTCCAGGTCCATCCATGCCACTGCAGAAGGTAAGATTTCCTTCTTTTTTTATGGCTGAGTAGTATTTTATTGTGTAAATGTACCACAGGGTTTTTTTCCCCCCCAAAGAGAAGAAGGAAGAGAGAGGGAGAGAAAGCGAAACATTGGTTGTTTGCCTCCCCACGAGGAATCAAACACGTAACCTGGGTATGCACCCTGACTGGGAATCAAGCTTGACACCTTTTGGTGCACAGGACTATGCTCCAACCAACTGAGCCACACCGGCCGGCCAGGACGAGGACAGCTTTTTTATCCACTCATCTACTAAGTAGACATTAAGGGATATTAGCACCCTCTGAGATGCTGTCATCCTCAGCTTCCGTCTTTGCACCACGCATCCAACCCAATGGCCAATCCTGTTGGCTGTATCTTCAAATTATATCCAGAATCTAACCACTTGCACCACCTCTGCTGCTACTGTGCTAGCCTAGCAAACTATCACTTGCCCCTGAATTATTGCAGTAACTTTCTAAATGGTCTTCCTGTTTCTTCCCTATGCATCTATCCAAGTCTAGTTTTAACAATTATCAAGTACTAGAGGCCCAGTGCACAAAATTCACACACTGGGGGGGGGGGGGTGTCCCCTCAGCCCAGCCTGCACCCTCTCCAATATGGGACCCCTCAGGGGATGTCTGACTGCTGGTTTAGGCCCTAAACCAGCAGTCGGACATCCCTCTCACAATCTGGGACTGCTGGCTCCCAACCGCTCGCATGCCTGCCTGCCTGCCTGATTGCCCCTAACCACTTCTGCCTGCCAGCCTGATCACCCCCTAACTACTCCATTGCCAGCTTGATCGATACCTAACTGCTCCCCTGCCGGACCAATTGCCCCCAACTGCCCTCTCCTGCAGGCCTAGTCCCCTCCAATTGCCCTCCCCTGCCAGCCCAGTCACCCCTAACTGCCCTCCCCTGCAGGCCTGGTCGCCTCCAACTGCCCTCCCCTGCCGGCCATCTTGTGATGGCCATCTTTGACCACATGGGGGCTGCCATCTTGTGCGAGGATGTGATGGTCAATTTGCATATTACCTCTTTATTATATAGGATTATCTTTTAAAAATATAAATCAGATATTATCTCTTCATCTCCAAGAAAAAGGCCCCTATTATTACTGCATTTCCCTCCACCTCCTTCTCCTTCCCCAGTTCCTGCAGCCACAGTGGCCTTGTTGCTGCTCTGAACACCCGGGCACAATCCCACCCTGTCCTGTTGCACTTCCTGTTCCCTCCACCAAGAAGTCTTCCCTGTTTATTCTCACAGCTCATTCTTTCCATTTTTGTCACTTCCCCTCCTAAGGGACATTCCAATTGGCATTCCCTTCACCATATATGAGAGTCCCAGGTTGCCCCACTCTTGCCAACAATCGGTATTACTCTTCTTTTCTATCTTTGCCAAATCACAAAATATAAAATTATGCCTATTGCTTGTAATTAGATTTTCTTTGGTTTCTGTTTGTGTTGAACATTGTTTTCATTAAATTTGAGCAGTTAAAAAAATACTTTTGCCAAATGCTTTTACTGCTTTGTGTGTTGATGAAGTGACAAGTGATTGTTTTAGTAAAGTCGTCTCTTTAAAATAACAATATAAACACATAAGCTGCATTTTTAAAACACTAGCATTTTAACAGAATTTAACTTTTTACATCTATCTTTTTCTTTTTAGGTTCAGTCCGATGCAGCGCAGAACTATACCGTCTTCTATTCAATAAGTGGACGTGGAGTTGACCAAGAACCTTTAAATTTGTTTTTCATAGAAAAAGACACTGGAAATCTGTATTGTACTCGGCCAGTGGATCGTGAAGAATATGATGTTTTTGATGTAGGAGTTTTATTGATATACGTGACTTTAAATGGTTAAACTATGTTTCTTCTGATACTCTACTCTTTCCTGTCTTCTTGCATTCTCTTCTTAGAGGGCATGAAAGTAAAGAGATAAATTATGCAATATTTTGGAATACTTTCTACTTTTTAAGTCAACTTCTGTTGTTGATCAAAATGAAGCAAACAGCTTTAATTGTATTTGAATGTAAATTCCAGTAAGTTCCCAGGAGTTGTTTTTGCTCAGGAGATACAGCCCTCTCTCTGGTCGGGGTACGGCTTCCTCTCTCCGGGACATGGCCATGGTCTTTCCTCTTCTGCTCTAACCACTTCTCTTGTCTTCCTTCCACTTATATGCTTGCTGATCATGTCTGAGTACTAGCTACGAAAGCAAAAGTCAGAGACTAAACCCAAACAAGGTTAATAAGCCAGCATTCTGATATGGATGAGCTTACAGTCCCTGGGGAATAACTCAGACAGTTTTCAGTGGGGTAAGTGCTGTGGTCATCCATGCGATACAGGGGCTATGATTCCCCATAAAATAAAGTGATATTCTTCCTAGAAGAAGGAAGAGATCTGGGTGAACAAATGTGACTGATGTCCACCACATGACATTTCTTAGTTTTTGGTTAAGAAATGATCAACTCAGTGTTGTAATCACATCCTAATCGAAATACATTCTATTTGGCATTATAATGCCTTTAATTACATAGCAACACAGAAACTGGTCAATGGATTTTGTTAGAAAAACTCTTAAAGTATGTGATCTCTGAGGTAAAACAGTACAAGGGCGTGGTAGTGTCAAGACTGGAAACCACTGCTTTATGTGGGTGAAGTAGGGATTTTCCCCATTCCCCTGGGTTTGTCTTCTCCAGCACAGCTTTCTGATTATGGAGTGAATACAGACTATAACCCAAGCCTCTTATTCACCTTTAACTTCTCAGTCTAATCTACATGACTTCACTGTACTCTGAAACTTTATTTGAAGTGTAGACATTTCTACCAAATGCTGGGTGGTCTTTATTTAAAGCGTTTCTCCATTTGATACTTCGATGATTAAAAAAGCACCGAATAGAAATTAAGTGGTTAATTCTTGAGAATATTTGTAAGGTAGGCAGTGGACAGAGTGTAGTGTTCTCTCTCGCTAGAATCTTCTATCAACGGGCACTGACCTCGCTTCTCCTGTTTCCCAGCTCATTGCCTATGCGTCAACTGCTGACGGGTACTCGGCCGACTTACCTCTCCCGCTGCCCATCCGAGTGGAGGATGAGAATGACAACCACCCCGTTTTCACGGAGCAAGTTTATAAGTTTGAAGTTCCAGAAAGTAGTAGACTTGGTAAGACGATATTTTTGGGGGGAACTTTTTTGTGAGTGTTTTCGTTGGCCATTTGTATTATTCTTTTATGAAATGTATGTTCATTTGTTCTTTTCTTTCCTCTGGTGTTTGTATGTTTCCTAATTATTTATTAATCTACTTAAAAGTGTTCTTTCCATATTAAGGATATTAACTTGTCACCTTGCAAATATTTTCTCAGTCAGTTGTTTCTTTTCAATTTTATTAAAGCTCCTTTATGCTGTAGAATAGTTCAGGTCTTTCATTTAGTTAAATCTATCCATATTAGACCTAGAATAGCCTTTTCCCTTCAGGCTTTACATTTAAGAGTAAAATATGTTAAATATGTTTGTGTACATTTTTTGAGATATCGAGTTTTTTATATTTAAGGCCAATCATCCTAAGATGATATTGGACCAGTATCTATTCACAGAATATATTTAATCCCATCAAACACAAATAATGAGTATCTTAGAGGATATTATAGGAGTTTTTTGTGTTAACAATATGATACCAATTACTTCTAAAGGCAGATGACAAGTTATTCAAGCTATGTACCGTACTTGGTTTATATACTTTATTTCATCTTATCATGATGTGGGTTTATCAATATTCTCACCTCCAAGCAGAGGACATGCAGGACAGAATGTACAATAAAACTAAAATCAATAGAGATATTGTTATTAGGTTTTATTTAGGGAGGTGTTGAACGACAGCCACTGGTGATACAGTTTTTTAAAGCTCTTATTTCTATTGTTTCTTCTCGTAAAACTACGACCTTATTATTTCCACCATCATGGTTAAAACTCGAAAAGTGCAAATACCCCTAAGCATACTTAACAATGCTGGAAACGAAACACTTTTTTTTTTTTTTTTTCACATCAGGTACCACCGTGGGGGGTGGTCTGTGCCACAGACAGAGATGAGCCCGACACGATGCACACGCGCCTGAAGTACAGCATTTTGGAGCAGACGCCCAGGTCGCCTGGGCTCTTCGCGGTGCACCCCGCCACCGGCGCCATCACCATGGTGGCGCAGTATCTGGACAGAGAGGTAGCCCCTCACTCTACGGGGTGTCTCTCTGCCAGGGGCGAGGCCCCTCTTCTTCCCTGTCACTGTACTTGGCTCTTCCTTGGATTGAGTTCTAATTTTATTTTATTTCGGAATAAGATAGTAAGAATTCCTGGCCGTGTTACCTGGGTTATATATGACTTCTATTTCTTGAAGTAAGAGAAGCCATAAGGAATAGAAATACAGGTCAACTGGTATTTAGAAGGTGTGGGAACAAAATCTATTTCTTATGAAAGTTATTATTACCGGTATTTTTTTCTTGTGTGTGTCTAGTGGGTTCTAGCTCAGTAATGGATTCAGTTCTTGGAAAGGACAATTTGTTTTGTTTAACTCATGAGGATAGCCCATACCCCGATCCCTATCCAGTTATAGATATGTTTTTTTTCTTTTTAAAATTTGATTGTTGAAAATGTTATGTGCTTTTTATCTAGAAAGGATTAGTTGAGGTAAGGTTTATTAAAAATATGCAACACTATTTGGATAACAGTAATAGCATATTGTGACATATATATATATATATATATATATATATATATATATTACTTTATATTCAAATTCTTTATGCATAATTTTATTTGATTTTTATAATTTCCTGTTTGATTAGACAGGTGTTACATTCAACCTGTAAGGAGAAATGTGACAGTCGGAAAGATTGATTGACTTGATTTTGTTAGCCTATATCTAACTAGGCCAACAAAATCATTATTGACTGAGCTGATTAATCAATTTCGTATGTAAAAATAGCTTTATTGGAACACTTAACTGCTTCCCACTGCAACTAGAATAACATAAATATAAGGATCGATATGACTGGGAGAGATATTAAAAAGAAGACATCAATCTGATATGACACCAGAGAAAAAGGGAGGGATAGTGAGAACTTTTAAAAAGGAATCAAAAGTAGAACAGAGGTTTCATTAATTTTTTTTAATGCATTTGTGGGGCTAGAGATTTTATGTGATAAAGCACATAATAGTAATAATAAATGGGAAAGTTTGAAGGGAACAATATGAACATATTTTTGTGTCTGTGTAATATGTAGAGATGATGTGGTAATTAAGTGAAAACAAGGATTTTTCCTCATGTTTCAGATTGAAAAATGAGACTCAGAAAAGACAATTTAAGGATACAAAGCTTATAAGATACAGCTTTGGGCGGGGGAGGGGTCAAACCCAGGTCTGCTTGCCTGATCAAAAAAATAATCTAACAGGATTTTGTGGGGAATAACATGGGAAATAAAGAAATGAACAAAGAGGTAAAGACACAGTGCCATTAGAGGAAGGAGAAACAGGCTCGCGGAATCCCGGAGCCTCTGGGTGGAGCATTTGGGTGGGAATGTTGATTAGCGTGGAGGGATATAAGTAAAAGGAACCTGGAGATGAGACAGAGGGAAATAGAAAAAGAAGAAAACTTAACATAATCAGTGGCTGAAGAATAGTTAGAGAGGAGAGAAAGGCAGCAGAGATGGCTGTGTCACAAACTAACGACTCCATTTCATCTTCAAAACACTGTCTGTGAAACTCCATTCCCGGAAGTCACCGTGATTTCCTAATTGCCAAAGCCAACTTACCTTAAGTCTCTGTCTGTTGCCAATTACTGAAACTCTCATTCCTTCTCATTTCTTGTTTTTCTCCTGCTTCTTTGGTCTTTTGTGTTTGGTATCCTTTGCGTAGTCTTCTTTCCCCTTTATATCCTCAGCTGTTGAAATGCTATTGCTCCTTATATCCTCAAATCTTCTCATATTCAACCTCTTCTAGATATCTGATTCCTGCCATAATTTCAACCACCGTCTACTCTACACACTGGTGATTCCCAGATTGGTGCTTGGGCTATGATCTCTCCCTTAAGTATGGGCCCCATACCAAAGTGGCTTCTGGACCTCTCTCCTTAGATCTCCCAGAGGCATGTAAAATTCAGGATATGCCAAAGAAAACTCATTGTTTTTGCCCCTCCTTGCGAACTTGCTGGTATTCACTTCCTCAGAGAATGCCTCTTCTTCTGAATTTTCTGTATGGGTTGGTGATACCCATGTCTGCCTATCTATCCAAGTAGGACACCTGTGCATCATTGTCAATCCTTCTTTCCCTCTGCACTTGTATCCAGAATCTGCTCTAATTCTGACTCCCACCTAACTTCCCTATCACCTTTATCCTCTGTCCTTACTGCTACTGCCTCAGATTAGGACCATGGGTGTTAGACTAGTTCAGGAGTTCTTTAACTGGTTTCTTTGGCTTCCAGATCAGCTTACTCGAAACTTTGCTCAACTTCCTTCAATAATATTCTTTCAAAAAACTCAAAATGCTTTTAAATTGTGCTACCTCTGTGACTTCAAGAAAACCTTTCTCTATCACCTGCCATGTAAAGCATACGTCTACGGTTACAGCGGTCGGCTCCTAAAGGGTCTATAGAGCACTGGGCTTTTTACTGTGAGGAAGATGGGAAGCTACTGGAGCAGTGGTTCTCAACCTTCCTAATGCCGCGACCCTTTAATACAGTTCCTCATGTTGTGGTGACCCCCAATCATAAAATTATTTTCGTTGCTACTTCATAACTGTAATTTTGCTACTGTTATGAATCATAATGTAAATATCTGATATGCAGGATGTATTTTTATTGTTCGCGACCCACAGGTTGAGAACCGCTGTCAGGAGGGTTTCAAAAAAATAAAATGAAGCGAAAGTCGAGCCTGGCTGGTGTGGCTCAGTGGTTGAGTGTTGACCTATGAACCAGGAGGTCATGGTTCGATTCCCAGTCAGGACACATGCCTGGATTGCTGGATCTATCCCCAGTAGGGGGCATGCAGGAGGCAGCCAAGCAATGATTCTCTCTCATCATTGATGTTTCTCTCTCTCTCTCCCTCTCCCTTCCTCTCTGAAATCAATCACAATATATTTTAAAACATAAGTCTAAATTCTTAGTATAACTCTTTATAATTTAACCTCTGCTTACCTTTTCAGCTTTATCCCTGTCTACCAAGTTCTTAGAGTACATGCAAATGTGGAAATAAAAGCATGAATACACACAAATAGAAGAGTCTACAATTAAAATTTAATTTAAAAATCTAAATAAAGTTGTAAAAAACTAATTAAATATTTGCTTTGTTTTAAGGTTGTAGACAAGTACAAATTGATAATGAAAGTACAAGATATGGATGGTCAGTTTTTTGGGTTGGTGGGCACATCGACCTGTCTGATAACAGTAGCAGATTCAAATGACAACTCACCTGTTTTCAAACAAAGTACTGTAAGTATATTTCCAAAATCTATCCCTGTCTGTTGGCATTTGTTATTTGATCTGAATTAATATTTATCATGCCTTGAAATATATATGCTTATTTTTTAATAAAATTAAATAGTAGATACATAAATCTATCTTATTTGTTCATAGTATTATTTATATTACGGACCTCTTGTTAAAGATCTGTAACATTAGTCTTCATTTGTGATGAAATTCTTTTCATTCAAAAGATGTCTTCATGAAACAATACTATTTGAGATTCATAGTTTTAAAATAATCTAGGGAAAAATTATAAGAACAAATACTTTTGGGGTAGAAGATATATTTTACTTTTTTTGTAAACGTTTTCTTTATACAATATTTTTAATGAGTCCTTTCCATTTCAGTATGAAGCATCAGTAGAGGAAAATACAAACAACGTGGAAATCTTACGACTGCCTGTGGAGGATAAGGACTTCCAATTTTACTATTTTGAAGGGCAATGAAAACGGGCATTTCAAAATCACCACAGACAGAGAAACTAACGAAGGCGTTCTGTGTGTTGTAAAGGTACAGTCATAACAGATAATGGACAACTTGGCAAGTTAAATTTTATAAACTAATGGTTTAATCAACTAAATAGTTTCAGTTGAGGGAACGTAGTCCCTTTAGTCCTACTGTTCCCATCGAATGCCCGCCTTTCTTCTATAATTTATTTGCCTGTTATTAGTCATCTAACTTATGCTTGAACATGCTCAAGATTAAGGATCTCCATACCTTGATGGGCAGCTTATTCCATATGTAGAGAGCTCTGATTCCCAGAAGTCTTTACTGTGCTGTGCCTATGTTACTCTCCTTATATCCCATGTCTGTGACCTGCGTTTTGTTGCTAACCCTTCTATTGAACAGGTACCAGTCTATTGAAAAAGCCATTATGTCCACTTGAGACTTACCTTCTCTAAGATAAACATCCCCAATGCCCCTTAACTATTCATCCCATGAAACATTATCAGTAAAAAGTGAATAATCATGATCTCTGCCTCCTTAGTAGCTATTCAATATAATAATGAAAATGAAAGCATTTGGTAAACTATAGGCTATTATTAATACATTTACAAATATTAACACGATCTATTTATAATTTTTCATAAAAAGATGACTTTCGTCTTTAAAGAAAAGATAACTTTTCTGGAACCATCGAGCATGGTTTAGCTGAGTCCTGGGGGAGCTTCCCATCTCAGTGTTTGTTTGCTTGTTTGCTTGGCAGCAGCAGCAGCGCGTGTGGGCTTGAGTGAGGAAACTATTGTTCTGTGTCCCTCTCAACACAGAGGACATTTCACTTCAGTACAACACTTGCTTTCTAGGGAATTGTTAGTATCTCAATGCAGAATTAAGCTATTTTTTTTTAACAATTTATTTCAATTGATGAAACAAAAAGACACCCCATGGTGGAAGAGAACTCATGCTTTTTTCATTAAGCATTGATTTCATCCCAGCAGATTTCTGATCTCGCAGAGTTTTAAGCCACTAAGATAATAGTCAGCTGAAGCCTTGGAAAATGACATAGAAGTTGGGGAGGCTTTTGCTTTATGTAGCAGGTGGCTCTGGCTGGAATAACTGCACCTCCTCCCGGGCAGCAGCTGTCGCCTCAATTTCCATCTCCTCCTCGTTGTCAGCAGGTGCTCGCCTGTCTGCACGCTCATCCCAACACATGTAATTTGTGAGATGGCGTTCATTAGCAACAAATCAACAGATAGTAGCTCAGGGTCCCTCTTGACTCTCCAGTTTCTGGGCTAGACATAAAAATCAAAAGCATTTCACCTGCACTTCGTGGATTTTAAGATTCCGAAATTTTCTTGACTTCTTAATGGACTCATGATGTTAGTTTCACAGTCTAATACCTAGGTGTGGGGAAAGGTTTGAAACAAAGATGTTACTCATGAGTTTTGACTTTGTTCCATGTTCAGCCAGGATTTTTTTTTTTACTTTTCCACTGAATTTATTAGGGTGACATCCTATATAATAAAAGGCTAGTAGGCAAATTGTCCCCTCGGGCGGGAGTTCGATCAACTGGGAGTTTGACCAGGGGGCAGGGTCGGCTGGCCAACCTCCTGCGTGCCCTCCCCACAGCCAGCCTGGCCCAATCAGCCCTGATCTGGGCGGGCCGGCTGGACCCCACCAGTGCACGAATTCGTGCACCGGGCCTCTAATTGGTTAATAAAATTATATAGGTTTCATGGGTACAATTCTATGATACATCAGCTACATATTGTATTGTATTGTATGAGTCTCCTTCCATCCCCCTTTTCTCAGCTACATCCCTCCACCTCCCTTCCCCTCTGGCGATCACTATGCTGTGGGCCGTGTCTATGGGTTTGTTTTTTTCTTAATCTCTTCACCCAGCCCTGCAACCCCCATCCTCTCTGACAGCTGTCAGTCTGTTCTCTGTACCTATGAGTCTGTTTCTATTTTGTTAGTTTATTTTGTTCATTAGTTTCCACATATGAGTGAAATCATATGGTTCTTGTATCTCTCTGTCAGCCAGGATTATTTTGATAAATTGAAGAGAATCAAAGAGAAGGTGTTTCAACTTTTTGTGTAGAATAGTGTGCTATGGGTTTTGCTTGATTTGTTATCTGAAAATCGATTCTAGTCAGAGGATTGATTTAAAAAATTTGAGAGGCTAGCGAACCAGTTAAGCAGCATAGAGTAGCCGAGCAAGTATAGTGTGGCGATTAAGGAAATGAACCCAAGCCAGACCGCCTGGCTTCAAACTCCCGCTCAGCCGAGAATCTCTGAGCCGTGGGAAAATCAGTTCAACTCCTCTTCTCCACTTTCTTGCTCTGAAAAACCAGATGATTATAATAATAGCACCATTAAGCATGTCTTGTTTCTTTTACTCAACTTTGTTCTCACAGTGAGAATTTCTTGGTATAAACTACAGACAATGCCAAAGTACAATTAATTCTCAAATTGTCAAAACATAATTTCATAAAAACAGTGAGCGTGGGTAAAAGTTCTGCTTAGCTTTTAATGAAGGAACCAGCAAAAAGACAGCAGATGCCTAAAAAGAAGGGAGACCCAGGATGGGTTTTGAGAAAAGGAAAAGCTGTAAGACGATTGCTCAGTTATATGCCTGATAGAAATGATATTCGTGTTTTAAAACCTGTATTTGGAATATCTTTTCTATCAGAGAGAAAATACGAGTATTGAACCTTTTCCATTTTGTTTAAGTCGACATCTAATTTATAAGAACTGTAAAGTATATGGGCCCTAATCAATAGTAAATACTAAGTCAAACAAGGTTCTATTCTTTAGAGTCAGATGGCCGGTACGCTGGGCTGTTAGTGCACTAACGCAGGGCCATACAACACTGCCATTTTTTTTTTTTTTTTTGCATTATCTCCAGGTTCAGAATAATATTTTTAGTGAGAATGAAGCATGTAAGTATTTAAAGAATTGCTTTCTCATAACTCTGTAAGCACCTGCAGGAACTTTGGGACCCCTCTGGCTAAAGGCCTAGTGAATAATCCCTCCCTCTTTAGCAAAGGGTAAAAGTCAATATTGACTAACCTGGACCCTGGAGAACGGGCGGCACTGTTTGTGTTGACACAAGTTCCCGTGCTGCTTGAAATACCAGGTGTGTTGTCCACTCAGCCTGAGTACATGCGTTTCTTTTTAAAGCCACTGGATTATGAAGAAAACCAGAAAGTGGTCCTGGAAATTGGGGTGAGCAACGAAGCCCCTTTGACTAGAGAGCTGGCGCTCAGGACACCCGCCAACAGAGCTGTGGTCACGGTCCACGTGAGGAACCAGGACGAAGGGCCCGAGTGCAAGCCTGCCGCCCAGTATGTGCGGATTAAAGAGAACTCAGCCGTGGGGTCCAGGATGAATGGCTACAAGGCCTATGACCCCGAAACCAAGAGTAGCAGCGGGATAAGGTACAAGGACATCTATACCCACGTACTGACATGCAGTTGAAGCCATTGAGGCAGTCACTTACTTTAATACATTTTAGACTGCGATTTTAATACGTTTTTTTATTAACAGGTACAAAAAGTTGCACGATCCTAACGGGTGGATCGCCATTGATGAAATTTCGGGGTCGATCCAGACTTCCAAAGTTCTGGACAGGGAGGCCGCCACCCCCAGGAACGACTTTTACAACATCACAGTCCTGGCGATAGACCAAGGTAGACAAAAACGCCTTCCTCTGGGATTTACTGAAGGAACTGGAGGATAATGCGACTTTTCTCGTGCAGAATTATTCCTGTGATAAGTAGGCTGAGTTCTTGGAAATGCCTTTAAAGACTCTGTTCCTGCTTCTCTTGGCCACGTAACAAGGTGAAGGCACTTGGAACAGGAGCCGTGTCTTGTACCATCGTGCCTCCCGCGTGGCAGGCCTTAAAGGCTGACAGGCCATGTTAGGGGACAGAGGGGTGACTGAGGTCTAGGGCTGATGAAGGGGTCTCCCCGGGCTCTCCTAGAACTCTTCACGTCACTTTAACTGTGCGTTTTTTAAATTTAACTTTGTTGTTGGAAGTATTACAGATGTCCCGCTGTTTTCCCCATTGACCCCTTTCTCCCTACTTCCATCCCTTCCCCAGGCCTCCCCCCACTATTGTCTGTGTCCATGAACTATGCATATGTGCATATAAGCTCTTCGGTTAATCTCCTCCCCAACCCCCTTCCCTCCGAGAATCCTCAGTCTGTGGCAAGCTTCCCTGTCTCTGGTTCTATCTTGTTCCTCAGTTTACCTTGTTCATTAGATTCCACATATGCGTGAGGTCATGTGATGCTTGTCTTTCTCTGACTGGCTTATTTCAGTTAGCATGCTACTCTCCAGATCCTTCTTTTTTACAGCTGCATAGGATTCCATGGTGTAAATGTAACTTTAAATTGAGACTTTCCATAGCTCAGCTGACTTTTAGGTCAAAATGATTCTTTCTTTGAATTCTGTTTCTTTCTTTTTTTTTTATCGCTAAAAGTATTACAAAGGGTATTACATATGTGTCCTTCCCCCCCCCCCCCTTGACAATCCCCTGGCCTCCCTTACCCCCAGTGTCTTATGTCCATTAGTTATGCTTATATGCATGCATACAAGTCCTTCGGTTGATCTCTTACCCCCCTCCCTCCTGCCCCCCAACCCTCCCTGGCCTTCCCACTGCAGTTTGACAATCAGTTTGAGGCAGCTCTGCCTCTGTATCTATTATTGTTCAAAAGTTTGTAATGGTCTTTATTATCCATGAATGAGTGAGATGAATTCTGTTTCTTAAAGTAACCCAGAACTTCTGAGCTCTGGTTTTATCTTCAAATAATTTGTGACACTTAAAAAAAAATATCAAGGTATAGACACCACCTCAGACCGACTGAACCACAGTCCCTGGTTTGGGATCCTGGACATCATCTATTTAAACAATGCAGCCTCAGTGGTTTTAATGTGTTCTGGGATTGGAATACTTTTTCTGTAGTTATGGCACTACTCAGTAACGCCTGTACCAGAAGGGAACCAAGGAAATGGAGTTGAAATTCCAACATTTAATTTTATTGTTTGGTAATAACTTTGGTAAAAGTTTATTGGCAGTTGTATCTGATATTATCAACAGTAGTACTCATTATTGGCAGGTTTCATTTATCCATATACCAGAGACCCAATGCACGAAATTCATGCAAGAATGGGCCTTCCTTCCCCCGGCTGCTGGCACCGGCCTCCCTCTGGCACCCGGGACCCGGGCTGGCTTCTCTCCAGCCACCCGCAGGCAGCCGGGACCCCAGCTTTGTCCAGAAGGACTTCCTGTCTAATTAGCTTGTTACCCTTTTATTATATAGGATTTCTTATTTATCATTCCTTTTAATAACCAGGAGTTGATTTAAAAACCATATATCCTATTTAGATTCTATTTGATTCTATTCTTAAGAAACTATAAAAGACTTGACAAATTACCCTAAACCTTTTGCCCTTCTTCCTAGACGGCAAATCGTGCACTGGAACACTTGCCGTGAGCATCGAAGATGTGAATGATAATGCGCCAGAAATACGTCAAGACTATGTGACAATTTGCAAACCGAAGATGGGGTACGCTGACATTTCAGCTTTTGACGCCGACGAGCCTATCCACGGCGCTCCGTTTTACTTCAGCCTGGCAAACCCGTCTCCAGAAGTCAACAAAATATGGACCCTCTCCAAAGTCAATGGTACTCACTCAAAAACTCACTTATCTGCCCTGAAACAACTGAGGCTGGGTGTACTTGGTTACTCACAGGAAACATGTACCATTGATTCTTATGAACAGAATTTAAAAGCCCAACAAGCTTGTACAGATATTGTAGGGGGCCTATGTTATATATTGTACACAAAATGAAAGAAATAGTAATTTTCAAGGTGGCAGAATTTACTTTGACAATGAAGACAAAATTGCTGTGTTAAAATATCGGGCAGCTTATCACTCAAGTGTTGTTGCTGTATTTAAGCAACTCCAGGGAGGGGAAGAGGGATGGACGGTGGGCAGTTTGAATGTGGTTGGAAGCCAGCTCTGGAAGTGAGGAGTCTGGGGTCGGGGCCAGGCACTCGGTGGTAGTTTGAAAGGGAACGGGTGGGATATGGACAGAGGTCTGGTGCTGGAGCCTCTGACAGGGTCTGTGACTGGTTTCTGGGGAGTGTGGCCTGTATTTCAGCCATGACTCACTGCCTCTTTGTTGCTATGTCATGTTCTCTCGTGTAATTGGACTTTTCTGTATGCTGTTCCTTCATAGAGCACCTACTATTGCCCAGACACTATTGCTGACCCTGGGGTGTGTATAGAGATTAGCAAGGAAGACATGATTCCGCACGTCTAAGAAGTCTTTCTAGGAGTAGAAGCAGGGACACTGTGGTCTTTCGCTACCTTTGTTATAGTGCTTTTCATGTGGTACTGTCATCGTTTACATTTTTCCTCCAACGTATGCACGATTTTCTCAAGACATTGCAATCTATTTTTGTAATTCCAGTACCTGGCCCAGTGCTTAGTAGACACTAACCGCTTAATAAATGTTTCTTGGATCACTAATTCACTAACATATATGCATGAGAGAAGGAAAGTCCTGGGGTAGTAAGGAAATCAGTGTTGTTGGCCTTTAGAAAGTGTTAGTTGGAATGCTGTGAGAATGGGCGGGAGGAAGGATGGAATCTGGAAGTGAGGAGCCTCCTGGACCAGGCCAAGGAGAATGGCCTTCGTATAGTAGGTGACGACACGTATGCATTGGGGTTGTATAAAGGCAACACTGTGTCCAGATTTATGTCGTAAAAAGGTGACTTGGTGACACTTAGGAGGCAATTTGAAGAGCGCAGAGTGAGTGGCAAGGAGAGTCAGAGGCTGATGCACTGGTGGGTGAGGGAGCAGGACGACGGCTCAGTTGCGGCCTTGAGGGGCAGAGGGTTGAGGGGCCTTACCTCAGGCACAGGATGCTTCGGAAGGGCAGAAGGAACCCGAGCGGTGCCTCACGTTCCTCCGGAAGCTGGTTATGAGGTGCAGCCAAACATGGTGCCGTCCTCCCAATTATAACAGTGCGTTTAAGCACAGCTCAGAAATCATGGGCGACTCCCAGGTGTGTATTATGCTCTGTCAGTCCATTTAGGGCATTGCAAAAGCTCAAGAAGGTTGTAATTGCAGCTGGAAATGTGTAGAGCTTTTGGTCAGGTGGTGATCAGGTCATCAGAATAAGGTATGGAGACTGTTGGGGGTAATATCACAGTTGATACACACGTACTGTTGTGATATAGAGAGAGCTGTTTTTCTGATATTGATTAGTTTCTGGTATTGAGATTACTTCCAGAGGCGAGGCATTAACCACAAAGGGTCCACTGTGTTTTGAAAAATTTCCTTATAATGGACAGGTAGGTACGAGAAGGTACATGGATAAGAGGATGTGAAGTTAAAACATCCCTTGTTTGTGACTGTATGTGTTAATTCTTTATGAGTGTCATGAACTGCTACTACAGAAAAACGCTTGAAGTGTATGTTAAAAGTCAAGAGGGAAGGGTGGATGAGGGGGAGTGGGAAGAGATTAACCAAATAACTTGTATGCATATGCATAACCCATGGACACTGACAATAGTGAGGTGAAAGCCGGGTTGGGGGGGGGGGTCCGGTACAAGGTGGAGGGACTCAATGGGGGAGAAAGGGGACCACTGTAATACTTTCAACAGCAAAGATAGTTTTTAAAAAGCCAATCTAGCATTATTAGTTTGTAAAAAAGAGAATAAGTAAGGAACTATTAAATATTGTTGAAATGCTACTGGGTCACTCCGATGCCGAATTCTTTCCTTAAGCTTCTCTCTAAAAAGTTACAATGGGCAACACATCCGCGGTAAGGTTAGTGCTTGGCAAAGTTGGAGATAGGCATCCGTCTTTATTTGTATTTAAGTGGCAGATAGTGACGTACAAACAAGTGCGGTGAAACAAATGCCAAGGGAGGAGGCCATGTTCGTGAAGTTCTGATTCTTCTATTGCAGATACAGCTGCCCGTCTTTCCTATCGGAAGAACGCGGAGGTTAAGGAATACTATATTCCCGTGACTGTGAAAGACAGAGCAGGGCAGTCGGCCACGAAAACCCTGCGGGTGAACCTGTGCGATTGCACTCACCCGAGCCAGTGCCTGGCCGCTGCAAGGAGTGTGGGGGTGTCGCTCGGCAAGTGGGCGATCCTGGCGATCCTGCTGGGTATAGCGTTACTGTCTTGTAAGTCCTTTTATTTACTTAAAACTTAAATATATAGTAAAAATCCGAGTGTAGGAGAAGGTCCTTAAAAAGTGATCGTGTCCAACTATGCATCAGGTGTGAGTCCCCTTGTCAAATTCCTTTCGTGTTAGGGTCCTTTTTGAGATGAAAGATTTCAATTTTGGATAGAACTCTTTTTTAAAAAAATAAATTTTTTTTATTGATTTCAGGGAGGAAGGGAAAGGGAGAGAGATAGAAACATCAATGATGAGAGAGAATCAGTGATTGGCTGCCTCCTGCACGCCCTATACTGGGGATCAAGACCGCAACTCAGGCATGTGCCCTGGTCGGGAATTGAACTGTGACCTCCTGATTCATAGGTCGATGCTCAAACACTGAGCCACACTGGCCTGACAGAACTCCTTTTTTTTTTTAATGTTAATTTTTGCCTAAGGATTTTTTTTCACATATTTTTAGAGAGAGTAAAAGGGAGGGAGGGAGCAGAAAAACAAATGGGAGAGAGACACATTGATTTATTGCCTCCTGCATGAGGCCCCGCTGGGCCAGGGATCGAACCTGCAACTCAGGTACCTGCCCTTGACCGGGAATCAAACTCAAGACTTCTTGGTGTGTGGCTGACGCTCTACCCACTGATCCACACCAGCCAGGGCTTGGAAGAACTCCTGAAAATGCCTCAGATTGTGCTAAGTCTGTCAATGTATGATTTTATTTCTTGGTCCTGGTACTGCCCCTTTCAGGAGTATAAAGCAATCTAAATCTTCTGCTATGTGAAAGTTCACTAAAAGCCACTTTCATTTCATGTCCTTTCACCATTGAGCCACAGATTTAGGGGAGATGTCAGCAATATCTCTTCGTTGACATTATCTTGCCCATTTAGTTCCCTATGACACCATATCTCTTCCTCTCGTTTTATTTCCACCCAATCCTGCAGTTTAGATTAGCTGATCCTTTGTTCTGTGAGAGGGGCAGTGATTACGAGCAAGGCTCTGGAATCGGACTGTCTGGGTTTCTACCCCAGCTCTATCATTTGCCAGCCATGTCACCTGGGGCAGGTTACTTAACTGCGCTTCAGGTTCCTCGCCTGTAAAAGGAGATAATTATAGTAGCCTACTTTATGGGGTAGCACTGAGGATTAATTAATGCATGTGAAGAGCTTACAACAGTGCACAGTATACTTCTAATAAGTGTCCATTATTTCTCACCAACTCAACAAGATAAATGTATATTGAACACCAGTGATATGCCAAAAACTGTGTCTGCATACATGGGATTCATCAAGAACAAAACAGGAAAAACAAACAAAAATAGCCTGTCTTGCTCAGCCAGTATGGCTCAGTGGTTGAGCGTAGAACTGTGAACCAGAAGGTCATAGATCCCCTATGGGGGGCGTGCAGGAGTCCCCGGGTTGTGGTTCTCTCCATTATTAATGTTTCTTTCTCTCTCCACCCTTCCTCTCTGAAATCAATTAAAAAAATAGTCTGTCTTGAGACAGAAACTAATACATAAATTAAATGCTATGGAGGGAAAAGGAGCAAAATAATGAGGCCCTACAGTGCTGTACAATGTGTGGGGTGTGAGAGATTGGGGGTAGTGACTGCAATTTCAGTAATTGGTTAGGCCAGGCCTAGCTGCAGGTTCTCGTTGATGGTTTTTGGAAAAGCTGGGGAAAGAGCTTTCAGCCGGAGGGGAGAGTCAGTTCCAAGGCGCTAAGGTGAGATATGCCTGGGGAAGTCAAGGGGTGGCAGGGAGACCAGTGTGGCTAGAGAGTAGTGGGAGAGGGGACGAGGGGAAGAAATGGAAGCAGAACTGTCACAAGGGCCAGAGAGTAGGCAGGGGTTGGCACACTTTTTCTAGGGCTGGATAGTGTATATTTTAAACTTTGCAGGCCATGTGATTTCAGTTATAACCAATCAAATCTGTATAAGAAAATAGCCATAGAAAATATTTAAATGATGGGCATGCTGTGTTCTTTATTTGTGAAACTAAATTTGAATTTTATATAATCTTTATATCTAATAAACTGTTTGATTTTTTCCAACCATTTAATAATATAAAAACCGTATCTATGGGCCATTCAGAAACATGTGGTGGGCTGGACTGGAGCTGTGGTTTGGCAGTTGGCGGTACAGCAGTGTGTACAACATTGTAAAGAATTATTGTTATTATTCTTCGTTTTTTTATCCCACGTTTCAACCTCCCACATTTATTATATAGAATGAAAATTCTGAATAGGAAAATATACATTGGTTTAGTTCAGATACTTGGAGATAAGTCTATTCTGGGTAAAATGTTTTGTCCTGCTTTCCTGTAGGCCAACCATCCTTTTGGGAATCAGTAAATCTCTTTAGAGTCTTTGTCTCAGATAAACATCAGTGAGCTTTTTAAAAATGTGCTATTTAACGCATGATCCCAAACACTTTAATATGATGGGTAGAACTCAGACTCTTAAAGAGGACTGTCATCAAAATACACATACAATCATGACAAATTTTAAAACCTAACCTAAGTCATGGTATGTTGATTTAGAAGGTCAGGGTGATTCAGGGGACACCATATTTAGTGGCTGTATTTGTCTCCTGTGCACCTTAGGTGAGAAGATAAACAAAAGATGGGTATTTTATTCTATGTACGTTAAACGTTACATATTCACTTCTGTTTCCACACTCAGCTGTATTGCTGACTTTAGTATGTGGAGTTGTTGGTGCCAGAAAGAAGAAAGGGTTTCCTGAAGATTTGGCGCAGCAAAATTTAATTATATCAAACACAGAGGCTCCTGGAGATGATAAGGTGGTAAGTAATTTTCTTAAATGAATATTTATCTCTGAGCATCTCCCATCATTTCTTCACTTGTCCTCGTGAAGTTGAAGTTATTTTGACATCAAGAAGTTTAGTTATATTTCTCATTAGGTAAGATTTTGCAGCCATAAGATTTTGCATTGTAAGTATATTATGTCAGTATTCGAATATTCATGCAGCGGCATTCACTTCACTGTTTAGACCAGATGCATTGTTTCGGTTATCTTTCTTCCACTCTCTAGTGTTGTCATTTAAGACTTGTTCTTTGAGGTTGTACCTTTATTATAGTAACAGTCTATTTGACTGCTCTCTGCAATGTATATTTCCAGAGATTATTTTTTTCTTTGACTATTTATGATAGGAAAAATCACTTGCTAAAAACTCTGAAGATAAATGAAGAAAATATCGAAGTGTGGTGTGTGTGTGTGTGTGTGTGTGTGTGTGTTGGAAGATGGGGTTGGGAGTTGGGTGAGAAATCGGGACTGGAGAATAAATCTGGAAGTCCCTGACATATTGAAGGAAGTGTGATTCCCTGGGAGAGTAAACTCTGGGGAATCACCTGGAGGTGGGTGAAAGGAACAGAGAGCAGAGAGAATGTAGAACAGCACTGTGGGCTCAGCTTCCATGATAGTTTATTTTCAATTCTCCTCTCATTAGCTTAGAGATATGGTCGATGAGCATGTATTTGTAATGACAAAATTATACTACCAAGATTTGAAAATCAGGATTTTTTTTTTGGTAATAGAAACATACTGTAGCAGCAATCTAAGTAAAAAACATAGACTAGCAGTGCCACCAAATGGCTACTTTTCAGTTCTCTTTTTCCATCTTGCTCCTAAGGCAGTGAGATAGTATGTATGACTTTATAGGTAGAGTTCAGGTTCAGTAAGTCATCTGAACTTGAAAAGCTTCCATTTTAGTCAGAGACTCTGCATATTACATTTAAAAAGTTAAATGGCTAGGAAGATGGCACACAACAGCCTGATCGTTACGGGAGATCTTGTCATGACCATATTGGTTTATGATTAGAACTGACCCACTGAGGTGACCGCTGTAACTGAGCTTCTCACCTGTGTTGAACTTCTCTGGTTCCCCTCCACCTCTCATTTTTTTTTTTTTTTTTTGTGTGTGTGAAACTGAACTTTTGGAAAGAAGGATTTCTACTCAATTTCCCTATGATATTACTTCTTGTTCCCTCAGCACTTCTTGGAAGTTCTTTTGGTAAAGATCACCAGTGATCACATTTTTACTCGAATTCAATGGTGCTAACTTTATTTGAGCGAGTTCTTATCCTACTTTGTTTTTTTCTACTTTGATCAATGGCCTCCTTACTATACTCCTTTGCATGGCTTGAGTCATGCCTCTTTGGGTCCCTCTATTGGCTATTCCGGATCAATTGTCACAGCTCTAATGCCTTTATTCACCCCTTGGAATGGGCTTTGCTTGTGGTTTTATTCTCAGCCCTCTTGTCTTTTAGTCTACAGTCTTCTCTGGGTGATGGCATTTATTCCCAGGCTTCAACTACCACCTGTATGGGGTAGGGACTCCCCAAATTCTATCTCCAGTTCAGATTTCACACCTGAGCTCCAGATCCCCATATTCATGTACGCATCTTGGACGTCCCACAAGTTTACCATGTCCAAAATGGAATGGCTTACACCCATCTCACTCACAAGCACTTCCTTCTTCCCTATTTCCATGTAAATTGTACCATCAATCTAGTTGCACCGCAGAGCACTTAGGACTTATTCCTGACCCTTGGCCGCCTCCTCCATCTAACCACCAGTAAGCTCTCCATGGCGTTCTCAACTTCTTTTATCTTTTATTTTAAATATATTTTTCACTGTTGATAGTATTACAGATATCTCCCATCCCCCCTCCTCACCCCCTTCCTCCCAGCCCCTACACACACACACCAAGGTCTTCACTACCCTCTTTCATCAACTTCTTTTCATCACTACTGCTTCTACTCTGGCTTAGGTCCTTATCATTTCCCACCTAGAATAATTTGCTAGCCTCCCTGATCTCCATGACACTAAACTCGTCTTTCTTTCTTGTCTTTCACATTATTGCCTAGAATGATTAAAACAATATGTTTTTCCCCAGTTAGGAAAGCCCTTCTTTGAGTCCTCGTACTCTCGGGATAGTCTACATCAGTGGTTCTCAACCTTCCTAATGCCACGACCCTTTAATACAGTTCCTCATGTTGTGGTGATCCCCAATTTCATTGTTACAAATTGAACATAATTAAAGCATAGTGATTAATCACAAAAACAATATGTAATTATATATGTGTTTTCCGATGGTCTTAGGCGCCCCCTGTGAAAGGGTCATTCGACCCCCAAAGGGGTTGTGACCCACAGGTTGAGAACTGCTGGTCTACATGTTTCAGCCTGGCCTGCAGGTCTTCATGCAGAGCCTCTGGCCTTTTATAGCCTCCAGCTTCCTCTCTCTGTCTGAACTCTTTGTGGTAGACGTTCTCAGCAGGCTGAAGGTGAGAACCCCCAAAGCATCCTTTGTCCTGGAGTCTGGGGCCCAGACCCTCCTGCAGGTGGGGCATTCTTCCCCATTCCCAGTGGGAGTCCTCCAGCTCAGTTTTCCAGGTCTGCTCCAGTGAACCTCTCTGGGTTTGCATTTTGATGTTCTTTCTCTGTGCTCCTGTAGCATTCTGTGTTCACCTATCTATCAGAATAATCATTCTTAAAGTCATTATCTATCTTCTGTCTTACTGGAATAAGAACTTCTCGGAGCCACTGAACACCATGTTTATCTTTGCATCTCTAGACTGAACACATCATTGGAAAGTCATTGATGTCTGTTGAGTGAATGAGTAAATGAAGGAATGAATGAATAAAAGGTTGAGTAAATGTTCTTTCTCCCTCGCCTTCTTGTGACTTGCCTTGGAACCCATTTTCTCCTGAGATGAATGGTCTTATTTTATTTTATTTTATTTTATTTTATTCCAGTGTTCTGGCAATGGGTTTATGACCCAGACAGTCAACAACTCTAGCCAAGGCTTCTGTGGCACGATGGGACCAGGAATGAAAAATGGGGGGCTGGAAACCATTGAGATGGTGAAAGGCGGACACCATACCCTGGACTCCTGCCGCGGCCATCACCACACCCTGGACTCCAGGGGAGGACACGCGGACGTGGACAACGCCAGATACACGTACTCGGAGTGGCACAGTTTCACTCAGCCCCGCCTGCGAGAAGTGAGTTTCCCTCAGTGATTCACGCTACAATTAAATGTCCATGTGGAGAACAATAGGAAATTGAAATTGACATATATTTTTTAAGAAATTGCTTTTCCATATTCTTCATGGTTTCCTCTTTCCTTCTCACTGGTTATGTTCCCCTGCTCTTCAATTATGTTACATTATCTATACTAATAAAAGGGTAATCTGCTAATTAGACTGGGAGACCTTCCAGGAGACTTTCCGGACGTCCTTCCAGACAAAGCCATGGTGGTGGGGCCAAGGCAGAGGCGGTTAGGGGCAATCAGGCCAGGATGGGAGGGCAGTTGCAGGTGAGCAGGCCAGTGGGGAGCGGGGGCAGTTGGGGGTGAGTAGGCCGGCAGGCAGAGTGGTTAGAGGCGATCAGGCAGGCAGGCAGGTGAGCGGTTAGGAGCCAGTGGTCCCGGATTGCGAGAGGGATGTCCGACTGCCGGTTCAGGCATAAACTGGCAGTTGGACATCCCCCAAGGAGTCCCAGATTGGAGAGGGTGCAGGCTGGGCTGAAGGAGCCCCCCCCCCCACACACACACACGAATTTTGTGCACTGGGCCACTAGTTTAATATAAAAGGGATTTTATTTCGTCTCTCATATTCTCTTAATTTTAAAATCTCATGAACACTGCAGGTTTTTAATATCCCTCCCTTAAGTTTTAATTTAGTTTTAGGTGAGTGCTTACCTCATGAGCACTTTTAATATGAAAGAATATGAAAAAAAATCTCATTTCTCACAATCACAAAACTCCCCAAATCAAAGCTTCATTTCTCTGTGAAAACCAAGCATCTGTACACAATTCTAGGATCAATGTGGGATAATATGATCTGTCTGAATGATTTTTAATGTACAAAGCACCATGCAGGTGTAACGTGTTTCATTTAGAGGAAAGTAAGGGTGTGAAAGAAAGGAGAGATTATGTAAGGGATTTTCAATCCTGGTGGCACCTCCAAATTCCTGGGGAGCTTTTAAAAAACAACACTTGCCCTTGAAAGATTCTGATTTAGTTGGTTTGGCTTTTTTGCTCCCCCCACCCCCCGCCCCAGCCCAGCAAAGCTCCTCAGGTGACTCACAGGTGCAGCCCAGGGAGAGAACCACTGGGTTGAATTGCTTTCTGGTACTAAGTTTTCACATCTTTGATGAGAGGGTACCAGTGCCCTTGAAACACCAACATTGGGACGGAAGCCCTTCATCCTTTGATGGATTGCACATGGACAACATTCTGTGATGCAGCTGTAGCTTATCATATGTCCGTAGCATGTTGTTTTTCATGAAATTCAAGCATTAATCCTATTCCTGTTTCTAGATGGTCAGTTTCATGTGATATCAGGGTGGGGAGAGGCAAAGCTTAAGAAGCATTCATAGTGTGACCTCAGGTCATGGATGTGAGGCTACTGGGTCATGAAGGAAGACGCTTGATCACACAAGCGGGTTCGAGAGGGATGCACACAGGCGAGGAGGGAGCAGGCACAGGAGTGTGACAGGCCAGCAGACAGGCCGGGAGCAGATGCGGAGGGTAGTTGTGGCTGAAAGCTTGGCTCCTCCATCCCAAAGGCCATATTTTTGCAATGTGAGTTACGCTATTTTAAATTTTATTGACATTTTTTGTGCATTTCTATTTTGTCATGTTTGGACTATCTTGTAAACTTGATTCTGAAGCCAATGAGGTCATTCTTACCAACTTTCTTTTTTCTTTTAATGTTGAAAGTATTACATATGTCCCCCTTCCCCGTCTCATTCACCTCTTCTAACCCTACTTTCTAACTGCACATAATACATAGTGATTTTAATTAACAGCTATTGTCTGTATACTATGTGCTGGGCAGAATAAGAATATTTTTTTCTTTTCTTTTAATCACCATTTATCCCTCCTATATCCTCTCCCACCTCCAACACCTCCCTTCCCCCCAGCAATCACCACACTGTTGTCTGTGTCCCTCATTCTTTATCTCTCTCTTTATTTTTCCCCTCAATCCTTCCCGCCCCTCAAACACTCCCACTAGTGCTGTCTACCCTCTCTCTCTCTCTGTTTTCATGCACTCCTCCTCCAGGATTTAAAATTGACCCCGTGAGATAGTCGCTGTCTATTTTAGACTTGAGAGGAGGGAGACAAAAATATTTACTCCCCGGCTCACAGTCCCATCGCTCGTTGGTAAAGCCAGAGGCATGACTCCAATCAGGACTGAACAATTCAGACATTCAAACTCCAATTCCTAACCACCTGTGTATGGTCACCACTCTGTGGACTAGCCCGGCCTCTAGATATGAAATGTAGGGATGAGCATTTCATGGTAACTTAAATGTACTTAAATATAACATTTATATACAGTTTTTTATGCATATGGGTTATTAGAAATGTGAAATATACTGACTTTATGGTGTGGCTGTGACATAGACCAATCATGTGCATTTTTTGTATGTAGGACTCCATTAGAGGACACACTGGTTAAAAATTAAACATAAAAGGTAAATAAAAAATATATTTTATGTTTATATGTTCGTGTGTTTAAAGCAATAATGCAATCGCTTCTTTTTGCTTTGCAGAAACTGCACCTGTACAATCAGAACGAAGACCACCTCTCATCGCAAGATTACGTCCTCTCCTATCACTACGAAGGGAGGGGCTCCCCGGGGGGCTCCGTGGGCTGCTGCAGCGAGAAGCAGGAGGAAGAGAGCCTGGACTTTTTAAATCATTTGGGAGCTAAATTTACCACATTGGCAGAAACGTGCACAAAGAGATAAAGGTGTCAGCGCGACCGTTACATGGTTTTGCCAGACATTCTGGAGGTTTCCAAAAGGAATACTGTAAAATTCCATTTCAGCGTCTAAATAGTCACATATGAATATATGTGAATTTTTCTAAAATTTGAATTATGCTAACTGCCAATTTGTATTTTTCAAGCAATTTATTGCGTATCCTTTCTCTCAAGTGTACATGTTAAAAGGGATTTTCACTTTCTTTAGAGCTGAGCAAGTAGACAATTAGCAGATCTTATGCTGTAGCATTGGAATCGGAGTCTATAAAGGATCTGCTCTCTTAACAGATGTTATCCCAATAACTATGTTGGGTAAATATTAGTCTGACAGTAGCTAAGCTGTATTTGGTTGAATATGGCAGAACGGCTATCTGGGCTGAAATTCTGTTCTTGTTCCAAATTAGATTTAAGTGGAATAGGATTATTTCAAACACTGTGGCAAATTTTGTTGGATTTTTTTTAGTTCTAAAAAGGCAGTAGTACCTAGTCAGTAGCCCCTACGATTTCTAGAATTCTGTTTCCTTCTGGTTAGCAACAGGATAATGAAGAGCAGTCTTATCTATTCGATTATCCTAATAAAGGTCTCAAAAATACATAGCCATAACTCTCAACTACCCTAGAAAAGTATGAACCAAAAACTTGTTATTTTATGCTTTTGGGAGTGTGTTTTATGGTTTATAAAGGATTATTCTGAGGAATAAGTTTCCTCATCCTCAAGAAACAAAACTATATTCACCATTGCCAGTATTGTAATGAATTTAAAATACTAAACATCTTTCATTGAGATCATAATTCCAAATCTTAACTTTTTTTCCTGAGATTCAGGACTATTGAAAACTTGCCAGTAATGAAAATTATACTGAGAAAATATTGCTTTTCTTCTCTCGAGTATTGTACTTTTATATTTCCATGTGCAACTTTAGCACATATGGCTCCTATATCCTCTCAATGGTAGTCATTTGAAATCAGAACATGTTATGCTTCCATGGATTGTGGATATGCCTTGTAATCTGAAAAAAAAGACTCCTATCATAGTTATAAGTAGCAATGAGAGCTAAACATGCATTTTCATTCACTGCCATTTTCAAATAAAGCATATTACTCCATTTTAAGGCAGGTAGATATTACAAAATGTTGTCAAGAATCAAAAGAATATAGAGAAACTTAACCCCTTGGTGCAGTTTAATATCCTTTAAGATGTTGCTTAAATGTAAGGCTTTTCAGCTTTGTTTATGGGAAGCTTTGTTTATGTCATACTTCAAGGCAATGACATTCCAAACTTCAAATAGTGAATACGTAATTCATGCTAAATCTAATCACATTGATGTATACTTACTTCAAGTGACAGTTTAAAAACTGAACTAGAAATGTGGGGCAAAAGTAGGTTTATAGTTGTAATGCAAATAAATACCACAGTAATGAATAAATAGTAATAATACAAGAATAAACTGTGCATTTCCCATACAACTATAAACCTTTATTTGCCCACCCTTTTATTACTATCACCAGAAGAAGGAAATTTTGGAAGAAAAATAATTAAACAACTTTAAAATTTTGCAGCTATGAATTGGGACCAATTTCCTCCCACCCCCCAACATTCTTCATCTGACCGTGGGGGCAGGATTTGCCGAGCGAGCCCACGGAGTGGCAGTGTGCTATAGGAATGTCGTTTGAACTAACTGTACATGTATGTGTGTGTGTGTATGGGGACATGGGGACTTTGGGAGAGGACAAGCCCACGGGGGTATTTGGACAAAGAGCATCATGAAAACCCAGGCCTTCCAGGGCAAGGACAGAGGCCAACAAAGGGACGTGAGCGGGAGTAAAGGCAACATTGTGTGCTTCGTCGTCTTCCAAGGCCAGGCCCTGCCTTTTCCTTCTTTTCTCAGCCCAGTGGCAGCTGCCATTGGCTTCTGGTGAAGTGTCACCTCCCCTTGTCTGCCTCCCCTGGCTCGGAGTGGAGTCCAGGGGAGGAGAGCTGGCAGCACGGTGAGCCTGAGGCAGTCGCAGGATAGGCCTGAGCTGGCTGTGCAGGACACACGGCATCATGGGAAGTGCTCTATTCCTACTGGCCCTCAGCCTAAGCTAGAAGGTCTTCAGTTAAATGCGGGCTGAAATTGTTTATCTGATGCTACATTTTTTGTTGTCTTATTTGCTCCTGAAATCTAGGTTTTCCTTTTTAGACTTAGACTGCTGAAAGGGTAATTTTCCTTTTAAAGTTTGCTTATTTTTAATGTCAGCATCATTTACATGTAGTAGTCTTTCCTTATATGTGTAAGGTGGAAATTATGCTGTTTTAGTATGAAAGAAAATATCTTTTTAAAGCTTTCATTTTTTCAGCTCTTAAATTTTTAATGTAAATGTACAGATTGTCTTTTCTTATTTTTACAAAGAAGCAGTTAACTGTCTGTATAAAATGCAGTGATGTTTGCTATTAAAATAGTTATTTTACTTTTAAATAAATTTGGCAGGTTAAAATAGCAAAAATTGGATGTGTGATGTAATATTTACAAATATAGGATGTAATAAAGCAATACTAATTTAATTTCTTGTCTGCTGTTTTCAGAGATTAAGTTATTCATGGTAAATATGCTACAAAATTATGCTTAAGACTAGCATGGAAAGAGAGATTCTCAGTAATGCCTATATTGTATTACTGGAGAATATTTTAGAGAATGGGTAATTATCAAATTGTCAATGCTATTAATATATAGTATACTGTTGGGGTGAGATTACTATTTGGGGCAAATGATTATCATCTATCTATCTATCTATCTATCTAATCTATTTCTATCTATCATCTATGTATCTGTCTATTTATCACTTGATTTTGTTTGAGTGAAGAAGGTCAGAGTGCACCAGAGGTAAAACGCTGACACAGGATTCTTACTTGGAGGAGCCGTGTAGTTTAGGGGAAACACGAGGAGTTAAAACAACAACAACAACGAGTCTTTATTTTACAGCAGATTCCACGAGGCAAAGTAAGGCCGTGGTTACAACATTCTCATGAGTTTAGAATCTACTCAATTACACGTACCTGATCCAGCTTTGTTTACCTGCTGCACCTCCCGCAGCCCACATCACTCAGCCTCGTGGGACCACAGGTTCAGACCATCAGGTCAAGCTCACAGCCATAGTCTTTGGCCATCATTGTGCTGGGAGGGCTTTGCACGTGGGACTTGCACGTGGCTTTGCCATGAGAGGACCGTGCCCTCTCATTAGTCTGAGGCTTGAACCTGTCCAAACGCTGTAGCCGCTCTCCACAGGTGATAAATACAATCAAATGTACTAATATACATTAGCCATAAAAGCATCAGATCTTTTTGTCAAAACTTAGAGCTCTAAAAATTGGCCAGTTTAAATGGTCTCAAAGAACACTGACAATCTAATGCTATAATTGGTAAAATTTCATATAAAGAGCCAATTGATCAAATGACAATTTTGTATTACAAAATATAAATAAAAAATAGTCTATTAAAATAACAAATAAAGTAGAAAATTTGAAAGAATTTAACTTTGCTGTACAAGAATTCGGAAAGTCAAAATGGCTTAATTTTTATATGAACCGGAAAACATTTTCAGGACAGAAATTTACCCATCTTGGGCATAATTCTAATATCTATGCTCACAAATACAGAATAAAATGTCCTAAAGAGTTGAAATTTACTTTGAAAACTTGCTCTGTCCACTCTGTTCAGTTCTGAACAACCCAACACATCTCTCTTTCGGACGATCTTTGCGTCTGTCTGCCCTGCCCAGCAGCCAGCCTGCTGACTACAGGGTCCGTCCCAGAGCAGTCGCTGCTGAAAACAGTCACCACATGTCTGTCAGTGCTGGGCACTTCCTGGTGACACCCCCAACATCTCCAGATGTCCCTGTCTAGACTCTACATTCACGGCTGAGAGGGGCCTGTGCTAAAACACTACCCCCTGCGGGAAAACAAATGAACCAAAAATGGTAGCATCATATCCACTGAGAAACTATAATACATGTCCGTATATAATACGCACTTCCCCCCATCTGTGCCTTAATGAGTTTTAAGAGACCCCTGGGCCCCTGACTCTGCTCACTGTGGGAAGAAGGAAAGCCACATGATCCAAATACGTGCTTATAACACATAAGAAATCCCGTAACATGTTGCTCTTTCTGACAGTTTAGACTTATTCTGAAACCCCCTCCCATGTAAGCACCCGAGTCCTGTGTACCGGACGCTCTGTAAGTGCGCCACAGGCCACAGAATTAACACCTAGGGCGCCAGGCTCACACCCAGGTGGCTGGTGAGATGAGCAGCTGCCCAGGGCCCACCTGCGTGAGTCGGTGACTAGCATCACGTGCTCCCTGCCCAGTGCCCCGGGCTCTCTGTGGGAGGAGGTGAGCCTTACCCTCCACCCAGAACATGGGAGTGAAGATCAAATCCCAAGTAACAGGTTGATTTCCTGCCGCCTCAGCTCAATTCGGACTTGAACCAGAAACTGTGTAAAAGAGAAGTACAAGGAGCTATGCTTCGGGAACAGACGGGGGTAAACTGGGATTCCTAGCTGCTGTGCAGACAAGGAGCTGGAGTTACTGATCGGCAGGTGAGAAACGGCTTCCCTTGCATAGAAACACCACACCGATCCTGCCTTCATCCCTCGGCGGGCATGTAGGTGTGTCCACCTCCTGGCTTTAGTGCCTGGCGCTGCAGTTAATACGGGAGCACAGACGTCTCTCCACGATCGATCCCAGTTTCAGCTCTTTACGATACACGCTCAGGAGTGAGGTTGCTGGGTCACACAGGAGTTCTCTTTTTAACTTTCTGAGGAATCGCCCTGCTATTTTTCAAAGTGGTTGCATCATTCAGCCACACACAGAAAAAGGAGACCATGTCACATGCCACAGCATGGTGAACCTGGAGGATAGTATGCCAAGTGCAACAAGCCAGTCACCGAAGGACAAACACTCAGAGGAGGACTCAGAAGAAGTTGAAACGTAGAAACAGACAGTAGAATGGGGTTGTCGGGGCTGGGGGAGGGGAAATGGGGAGTTTCAGTCACGCAAGATGAGAGATTCTAGAGATCTGGGTGACAACACGGTGCTATAGGCAGCACCACTGCCCATGCTCACAGTCGTCGGGGGAGATCTCCTGTGATGCGTGCTCACCGTGCGGGGAAAATGAAACACGCCTCCGTCCGGGACAAACCGGTTGCCGGTGTCTTGGGGAGGGAGGCTGCAGGCGTCCCCAGGTGGGCGAGGCTGGGGCTCTGCCTGCGCCTCGGGCTCCCCGCGTCCCTGGCTGCTGGTCAGGCCTCTCAGGAGCGTGGGGGACACACCCTGCAGGCCCTCACCCCCTCCCTGTGCTGGCAGTGCAACCCGGGCCTGCACAGACATGCGGGCAGCCCCGGGAGCATGTTGTTATTACCTGACTCCAAAGGCAGAGGACCTTCTGAAGCCACGGTGGAAATCGCTAAAGAGGCCTGCAACCTCCCATCTCCAGCTGGTCTTTGTCGCCTGGGCACAGGGCGGCCACCGTGGGAGGAACAGATGCCCCTTGGGTCTTCACAGCCAGCGAGATGAACTTACACCAGGGAAACTCAGAGATTAACAGGGCTTTTCTGGGTATTTGTCACTCAATTCCCACTTTTTTTTATTTTATTGATTTTATCGTTTCCTTTTCAGAATGTAGTAAACACAGGCTGTGTGATATCAGTGTGCATGCATTTGTCTGTTGAAAGATAGATTTCGTTTTTTCCTTCCTGTTTCACTGCCTGTCTAGAAGCGAGTCGGTCTGTGGGGTTACACTGCGTCACTGGCTACAGTCTCAGGCTGAGACATCGATGTGCTGGCTCACGGACAGTGCGAGTTTCTACGACGTGATGTGACAGGTCCCCAGGTGACGCGCCATTTCACAGATTCCTAAGACATTGACATGTATGGGTTTTATTCTTTTTTAAAAAATATATTTTTATTGATTTCAGAGAGGAAGGGAAAGGGAGAGAGAGATAGAAACATCAATGATGAGATAATCATTGATTGGCTGCCTCCTGCACCCCCTCCCCCTTACTAGGGATTGAGCCCATAACCCAGGCATGTGCCCTTGACCAGAATCGAACCTGGGACCCTTCAGTCCACAAGCTAACGCTCTATCCACTGAGCCATACTGGCTAGGGCTGGATTTTATTCTTAATGTGAATCATCGTAGACAAAGTAAAGCAGATCCGGTATAATGATGATAAGGTTATTTGGGGGAATACAAGAAAATAGCTTTAGAATATTTGCCCTAGAAGGAGAGAAAACAAAGTAGAAAAAAAGGTGATGATAATTTTATTAGAATCCAATTGGCTTAGTCACATTTTTATGCTGTGATTCTAACTTGAGAAAGCTGGTATATCTGATCCACAATGAGAATGGCATCTCAGAATTCAATATGAATACTTCCGTCAGTTTAGTTTTCAGTTCACTGGATTCTTCAAAAGGAAGCCTCACTCACCTCACCTTCCTGATTCAGAAAGATTATACAGGGGTGGGCAAAGGGAGTTCACAGTTGTAATACCAACAAATAATACAATAATCCTATAGGATAAAAGTGTAGCATGCAAATTGTCCCCTCAACCGGGAGTTGTCGGGGAGTTCAAGCAGGGGGCGGGGCCAGCAGGGGAAGGAAGGGAGTACCCGGCTGGCAGCCAGCAGCTGCTAGGGATCCTACTAGGGCCTAACTAGGGCCTCTAGTTAATAAATAATACAAGATTAAACTCTGTGTTTCATGTACTCACAACTATAAACCCGCTTTTGCCAACCCCGTATGTCATTTAAAAAAATTTCTTTGTAATATATGTATTAATCTAGGACACAAATAATATCCATGATCACAAGTTCAAATATAGAAAGTATGTCAACATGCTTTCATAACTTAATTTGTCTTTTTCTTGTTACTCCCTTCCCCCCTTATTTAGTTGGGTCACAAGAATGAAGTAAAATGTAAATGTTATTAGTTAGATTAAAATTAGGTTTCTCTCTTATTCTTCTGTACATGAATTGTGTCCAAGTGTCAAAGAGCTTATGGGTCAGGTACTCAAATTCCTTGGTAAAGGTGGTCAGGTCGGAGGGAAAAGAACCAAGATGCCTCTCAATCTGTGCGAGGCTGGACACGGAAATGGGATGTGAACCCGGACAATACCCTCGGCTCCTGCTCCCTCCCTCAGGGGTAGAATAGGCGCAGGTGTAGGAGTGGCTGTTGGGGAAGGCCGTCTTTGGGTGGCCCGAGAGCGTGTGTTAGGTGGGAAGGTCTATATTGAAGCTCTTGTTCTCAGATGTTGGCTCTCAGGGGCCAGGGGAGAAGGTGGTTGCTGGTTAGGAGGGTCTGGGTTTGGGGAATCTACTGCAGGTGAGGGAGGGGGCCTGTAAGGGGGCGGAAGTTGGTGGTCTGCTGGATCAAAAGTCGATTCAGAATCAGAAGTGTTAGGGGATGATGTTTTGTGTGAAGGAGAAGGATCTGATGGGTAGAGCAGGACTGACAGAGAGAGGGTCCGAACCAGAGGGTGAAAAGGTCTGGACATAGGGAATCTCTGACCATTTTCCATTGCGGTGACGGCAGTTACCGACATCGTGCAATGTGTTACAATTGGATGTGCCGTTTTCAGGCCATTGAGACTTTCCTAGTTTATATTGTGGAGGCGCTTGGGTCTGGTCTCCCCCATGAGTGTGCAGAGGGCGTGTAGCATGACCCATGAGAGGAAGGGTGAGTGACAGACCACAAACCCAAAGGTGACTGTTTAGGGCAGGCCTCCCACCGCTAAACAAATCACCAGGAGAAACAAGCACTTTGGAGAAGTGAGTGAGAGTGGGCAGAAGACTCGAGACGAGGGACATTTCATTCACCTGGAGAAGATTGGCCGGTGTGGGATGGAAGGTCAGCAACGGAGGAGGAGATATTCCTGATCCGCGTCCTCCTTGGCTGGCTCGGGAGGCCCATAAAGGAGGGAGGCCTAATCGAGGCCGGCAATCCCGTCACCTGAGTACGATTCGGAGGTAAGCTCAGGACGAACTGCTGCTGCCTACTGCTCTCGGAGCAGCAAAGTCGGGCGACTGAAGCCAGGGTGGTGGCTCCCCTTCCCCGTTTAACCACCTGGGTTTCGGCACCAAAGGTTAGGGTCACTGAAGGAGGAATGTATGAGGCCAGTGTGGTGAAGGATTATAAATTTATTAGGTCATCTGGATACCAGATGGGCTGAGTCCCCAAATGGCGCCAGCAGCCATGGACAGGGAGTCAAGGTTTGAAAGGACTCTAGGTGGGCTTTCTGGTGGGAACCTCCCTGGGCAGGTCTGGATCCTGGGAAAGTCGGGAGGGGAAAGAGAATGGTCTCAGTAAGTGGAATGTGGTCTCAGTGAAAGGGAATGTGGAGTGGTCTAAGGTCAGTTCCCAGGGGAGGGGTATTGCTTCAATTATTTGATCGGAACTAACAGAAATAAAACAGAAAGGGGGCATAGACGCTATGGGAGTAAGTGAGCAAGTCTGTGGACATGGGGGCAAGAGAGGGGAGAGGATAAAGGAACCTGTAGCACAAATGCTCTGAGCGAAGACTTTGCTTGGTGTGTTCCCTAAAGCCAGTGCAGCTGACCTTGAGTGGAAGAGAGAGGGTATGAGGAGGGGAGAGGAGGGGTCACAGTGGGAAACCAGACCAAGTAGGTTTCTGTGGCTCTCAGAATGGCTTAGGATCTTACTTTGGAGGGTTTTGAGTAGCTGAGAGACATGAGTTAAAACGGCACCTAGATTACAGGTGAAATGAGTCATTGCATATGGAGTTTCTTCCTCCTCCTTCTCTTTTTCATTTCTTTTCCCTCTTCTTTCTTCAACTTCCTCTCTTTTTAAATGTTCTTCTCCTCAGTTTCTTTCTTTCCCTCATCTCTCCTTCTCCGTCTCCCTTTTGTCTTATTTTAGTGGATTCCTGATTTGGAGCTGAGTTTGCCTCTCAGCTTTGCCACTGGTAGAGGCCCTCCTTTGCATGTCAGCACAGAAGCCCCACGTGAGGCATATCACAAAGATCCAATAAAACGCATGAATCAGCACGTGTTTCCAGCTGCCAATATCCGTGCTCAGCATCTAGTTCCTCTTCCAACAATGGGAATCTCACGTGTGTGCTAACAAGTCTTCACAGCTGTGAGCCTGAGCAGGTTTCAGATCTGTGCTTGCCCTCAGCCAGCACCACAGCCTCTGAATGCTTGGTCTCCACCCTGAATCAATCCATTGAAAAACAGAGCCTGCATATCCTTGCAATTTTATCTCTTGACTTGGGCCCTCTATATTCCACAGTCTAGGGTTTCTGTTCATCTCTGCACCAACAGCCCTATCCTTTTACACACTGATAAGAAAGGTGAAAGGCATAACTATTTATGCTCCAGGGTCTATGAGATAAATATATAGAATCATCTTCTTCATGATTAAATTTGACAATTTATTTAACTTCTATTATAAAACTAGAGGCCCGACTCACAAAATTCATGCAAGGGGCTCCCCCCCCCTTCCCGCTGCCATGGTGGCTGCCTCTGCCTCGGCCCCCGGAAGGACGTCTGGTCTAATTAGCATATTACGCTTTTATTATTATAGATAGAAATCATATCAAACACGTTTACTGACATTCACTATGGATGGACTTAGAGGGTATTGTGCTAAGTGGAATAAGTTAGTCAGAGAGAGAAAAATACCATATGATTTCACTGATATGTGGAATCTAAAGAACAAAATAAATGAACAAACAAAATAGAAACAGATTTATAGAAACAAAGAATGGACTGATGGTTGCCAGAAGGAAGAGGGTTGGAAGGATGGGTGAAAAAGAGAAAAGGATTAAAAAGTACAAATTGGTAGTTACAAAATAGTCACAGGGATATAAAATACAGCATAGGGAATATAGTCAATGATATTGCAAAACTATGTACGGTGCCAGGTGGATATTGAAAATATTGATGGGAACACTTTGTAAAGTATATGATTATCTAACCACTATGCTGTACGCCGGAAACTAATTCAAAATAATATTGAATGTACATTGTAATTAAAAATACAATTTAAAGAAAAATAAGCGGAGGACACGTCAGATTGTTTTACTCCAGAGCTAACTTTACTTTTGAGTTTATTTATGTGTTCAAATAACGTGTTTATTGAGATCTTTGCAGGAAGGCATTAACCATGACTAGTGTATGTACATTGATAATTAATCCATATCATTTATTCTTAAAATCTTATCTACTCTGATGTCAGCTATACCTGAACTCAGAGTTAACATCCCCTTACTGTATCTCCCCCCCCTTCTCTGTTTAAATCAAATCCTTTATTTTGACACTGTGAAAGCTCAGTGCATTCATGTGGCCTGGAGAGCTATTTATAAGTGCTTTCTTCCTGCTGCTGCTGCTAATACCAAACATGAATCAAATAAATGCACTTGAGATAGTTTCTATGAGAAAATTAATTTATTTGTCAGACCTTGCCGAGCTTATGTGAAAATCTCAGTTTGGGGTTATGGTCTATTTTTATAAAATTCTATTCAAGATTAATAAAGTTAAGATTTAAGGACAGAGTCCAATCTAAGTGGTGCTTTTTCCTGACCTTTTATTATCTACCTAAAATAATAGTTGCTGAAAATACAGCTATTGTCCACACTCATTTCACACATCTGTTGATGATATGACTTAATTTCTTCTTTTGCACAATCGGGGCAGTTCCAGAATCTGCATTTTGGGAAATCAATGGGAATTTTTTTTTCCAAGCAGAATTGTGCATTTTACTATTTTTCCTATGGCCCTTCATGCAGAAATACTGGGCGATTATTAGTGGTGCCAAAGGTGCTATTTTATTCGAGGCAGTTTTAATGGGCGGGTCCCTTTCTATTCTTTAATAACAACATCACACAATTTGGCATAATTTCTGCAGTCAAATGCTCTACCACTGAGCTCTAACCTCAGTGGCATGATTTTACCGAGTATTTTTTTTTTTTTTGGAAGTGGCATGCAACACTTGTAAATTTCTTATCGGAGACTTCACTCTGAATAGAGTGGGAGCCCACGGGTGGCTGCCAATCAGAGGAGAGACATGATTTACACCCCACGCCCACTCATGGGTTGCTCTGAGGACGAACTGAGCTAGAACAAGTGGCGTTCTCACCACGTGGCCTCGTCTGGAGGGAGCAGCCAGTCAATGTCAGCATCTGTTCGGTTATTTAATTGCCGGTTCTGGAGTCAGCACAGGGTTTGGATTCCCAGTTTCATCGCTTCCTAGAATCCCACGTGGGATACTGTGAGGTCCTCGCGGGGAGTTGAGTGACGTCTCTATCGGTCCCTATGGAAACGTACCTCGAGGGGCCTGAACCAGCGGGTGGTATGTAGAATCCTAACCTTTCTCACTATTTAGCATCTTGTCCCACGTGGTCCAAGGACCTAAACAAACAAAAACGCTGATTGGATGATCCATCCCTGAGGGGCTGGCACAGGGTTGAGACGCTCTGCTTTGGGGATGGAGTTGTACTGGAGCGTCTAACGCAGCTCAGGAGCTTTTCCTCTGCGGGAAGGGGGGGTCCCGTTGGCATGAAATGGACGAAACGCTTGCTGAGGAGCTTCCTGGGGATGCAGAGGCGGCTGAACTACCTCCCCCTGAAGACCCTCCTCTTCTCTCCCGCCTTTTGTCCTGATGGTGCGTCCATGCTATGCTTCCATACCCTGCACTCCTTGCATGGATGAACTAACCTGGGCCCTGGATGGTACTGCTAGCCCCGGATCCCATACGGTTTCTGAAAACAAGATCTCAAGCTCTGGTGTGTTAGAATGAGCTCTCACTCTCAAGGACAAGTTCTTTTGCTTGTATTTTGTTTTAATATATATTTTATTGATTTTTACAGAGGGGAAGTGAGAGGAATAGAGAGTTAGGAACATCGATGAATGAGAAACATCGATCAGCTGCCTCCTGCACACCCCCTACTGGGGATGTGCCCGCAACCAAGGTACATGCCCTTGACAGGAACTGAACCTGGGACCCTTCAGTCTGCAGGCCGACACTCTATCCACTAAGCCAGACCTGTTAGGGCTTTGCTTGTATTTTTAAAAATATTTTTATTGATTTCAGAGAGGAAGGGAGAGGGAGAGAGAGACAGAAACATCAATGATGAGAGAGAATTGATTGGCTGCCTCCTGCATGCCCCACATGGGGGACCGAGCCCACAATCCAGGCAGGTGCCCTGACCGGGAATCAAACTTTGACCTCCTGGTTCATAGGTTGATGCTCAACCACTGAGCCACACTGGCTGGGCTTAAGGATAGTGTTTTGATTGGCACTTTCTGAGCTTCCCTCCGATGGCCCTTTCAACTCATCGCTCCTTTCTTCCTTAGAAGGTTTCTGCTCGATTTCAGCTACTCTTAGTGGCCCTGTGTATATTTTGTTGACTGAGGGTTGCATGTGTGTATTCATTGTCTATTGCTGTGTGACAAATGACCACAAACTTAGCGCTCAGAATGGCCCGGATCTGTTCTCTCCATTCCACGGGGCAGGAGTGTGAGCACAGGTTAGCTAGGTTGTCTGCTCAGGGCCTCACCAGGCTGTCAGCTGGAGACTTGAGAGGGAGGAGTCACTTTCAAGGCCTTTCAGGCTGTTGGGAAATTCATTTCCTTGCAACTGTAGAACTGGGGGCCTCGCTCCTTGATGACGATTGTCATGATAGGTGGCCCTCAGGTCCTACAGGCCAAGCACGTTCCCAGAGGCCACACCAGGTCTCTGCCAGGAGGGCTTCTTCAGGGTGGCAACTTCCCTCTCTCTCCCACCTGCTAAGCTGGAGTCTAAGACAATGTAGCCTGATCATGGGTGTGAGTCCTCTCCCCTTTGCCATGTTTCGTTGTCTAGAAGCAAGTGACAGGCCCGACCTGCACTCAGAGGGAGGGGAGGGATGACACAAAGGCATGGACACAGCAAGTCACAAGGTCACCTTTGGTCTGTCTCCCGATTTCACTGAAAATGGAGCCTCAGGGTTCATGTCTATTTTTTTTATTGCTCTCTTATTAATTTCAGGAAGAAAGGTAGAAAACCACGGCCTTAGACCTTTATGTTTATACTAGATGTCCGTTGATAGAAATTTTATTGATTTATTGAGGGATATTATTTCTTTCAGCCATCTTATACTTTTTCTTTGTTCTCCCCTTGGACACACTGGAAATGCTTAGAATACTTAAGACATTATAGTTCCATTTTATTTTATTTTGATGGGACTTGGCAATATGTTTTTTTAAAGAAATACTGGTTTCTTTTTCAAAATACAATTTAAAACATCTAGTGACATTACCTTGATGTTTCAAATCCTTTTTTCCTGTTTTTGGAGATTTCTCATATATTTTATTTTTATTTTTAGAAACTATACTATGTGTACATAGGAATTGTCTTTGTGAAGGTAATTTTCAAAGTTGTGTGGATTTAATCAACCCAATTAATGTTGTAATTATGAGATATCCTCATCAGGACGCTTCAAATTTGGTTTTGACTTTCAATTACCTTTTCAATTAACTAACAAGTGCTTCATGGTAAAAATCTGTCCAAATAAGACCTTTGAGAATAATGGGGTCATTTTGAGAGAATAACCAACAAGCACCTTTAAAGGATTATTTTAAGAATGAAAGAAGCGTAGATATTAGCGAGAGATGAGCTACTGTACGGGTTTTGACTTGCCAAAAGGACAATGCTCGCACAAGTCGGGTGCTCAGGGTCATGGTAAACTTTCTTGGCATATTTTTTGTGAAAATCTGTAAATATTCCATTATACTTTACTATGTTTATGGTTTTAAAAAATAAAAGAAAAGCTAAAAGGGAACCATCGCTCTTCTTTGGTATGCGTAAGCATTGCCTCTTCTGTGAACCACGGGAGGGGTTGTTTGAGGAGAGTTTGTTTTCTGCTTATTGTGAATGGAGGCTGTACTGTCCCCGAGAATGAGTGTGTTCCATAGCCACCAGCTAGATGGACAACTGGAAGAATGAAGCATCGTTCAACGCCTCACTGGCAGACAGTCTTTCCAGGCAGAACGGGTTTGGACTATTGCTAGAGAGTTACGGGTCCAGGCTGGTGGCCAATGGGTCTTAGAAGGTGGAGTGTGAATTTCTAAAGAGAACACAGGGTTATGCAAAGGTTTGAAACGTCAGGAGTTATCTGGGAAGAACATAGATCCAAGGACAGGGAGGTCGCTGCTAGGAATTTGAGTGCATCCAGAAGGGTCAGTTCTGAAGGACATGGGTCTTGCTGCTTATTTGTTTATTGAGACTGTGGTACTGACCATCGTTCATGTATAGTTTTCTCTTCTAGGTTATGATTCTCCTTATTTATCCCTCAACATTTAGTACTGTCTTATGTCTTAGTTTTTTTAAATACATTTTTATTGATTTCAGAGAGGAAGAGAGAGGGAGAGAGAGATAGAAACACCAATGATGAGAGAGAATCATTGATTGGCTGCCTCTGCAAGCCCCACACTGGGAAGTGAACCTGCAACCCGGGCATGGGCCCTGATGGGAATTGAACCTGGAACCCTTCAGGCTCAAGGCTGATGCTTTATCCACTGAGACAAACCAGCCAGGGCTAGTGCGGTCTTGGATACCCTGAGAATGCATCTGAGAGACCAAGGAGGAAGCCAGTAAAGAAAAGTGGGGGCTCCCTATTGACAGCAGCATGGCCTTGGGAGCTGGTAGGTGGCACTCGCTGTGGCCGCAGGGAGCAGAGGCAGGGACATGGCTGCTGGTGCAGGAATCGGTGGGCATGTACCCTAGGAAAGGTGGGTTTGAATGGTTGATCCTTGGGCTAAATTCCAATCAAATATTTTGTGAGTGTAATTATTTGTTTCACATTTGTTTTCTCCTCTAGATGTTCCACGAGACAGCGAATAGGTAAATATTGATTATTATTTATTTCTGCTTACATATAGCAAGGCACTAAGTGGGTATTTTAAAAGTATTTGTTAAATAAATAACATTTAACTATTTTTAAGGCTTGAAGTAGGCACATTCCATCATGGGGGGAACTGACCACAGGTTTAATTTTAGTTGCTTGCACTTGCTGATGTATAATGACTATAATTTCTTCTGAAAGGCCATAGGACTAGCACTCACTTGACATGACTGATAAGTCTGTAAATGACATGCATGTGAACCACCAGGTGGAAACATATATAGGTAGGCATATAAAAATAAGCCAAACAGCTAACCCTCTAAAATAGCAAACTATTCTTCATACTTGGAGGTACTCAGCAAATTCAGAAAATGGATGAAATGAAAACCAAATAGAAGATTTCATGAATAAAATGCTACTCACAAATTGTATTTATAAAATTTTATGTTAATCTGAGTTCAGATAATCTACTTTAAAATTCTATTTCTATATGTAATTACAGCATACCTTTCGGCCAAATGTCTGCTCTATTTCAGTCCAAACTGTGATTTAAGGAACGACCACTGGGTGGCAACATATATTAAGTTAGTTTTCAAGATTAAGTCCAAGTTGCCTACACAGTTTCCACACAAAAAATTCTTGCTTTAGATAAATTGAATTATTTACATAATTTAAGATATATATATATATATATATATATATATATATATATATATATATATATCACACACTGGGCAATATATACTGTATATTCTGTATCATGGAAATGTACCTTGAAACCTATATGATCTTATTAACCAACTAGAGGCCTGGTGCACAGAATTCGTGCACTTGGGGGGCGGGGGTCCCTCATCCCAGTCTGTGCCCTCTCACAGTCTGGTAGCCCTTGGGGGATGTCCGACTGCTGGCTTAGACTCGCTCCCTAAGCCGGCAGTTGGACATCCTTAGTGCTGCCACAGAGGCAGAAGAGGCTCCCACCACTGCTGCTGCGCTTGCCAGCTCTGAGCCCGGCTTCTGGCTGAGCAGCGCTCCCCCTGTGGGAGCTTACTGACCACCAGGGGGAAGCTCCTGCATTGAGCGGGATCGGGCTGAAACCAGCTCTCTGACATCCCCTGAGGGGTCCCGGATTGTGAGAGGGCACAGGCCAGGCCAAGGGACCCCACTGGTGCATGATCGGGGATGCGGGAGGTTGACGAGCTGGGGAGGGACCGTGGGAGGGCTCCAGGGCATGTCTGGCCTGTCTCTCTCAGTCCCAATCGGCCGGACCCCAGCAGCAAGCTAACCTACTGGTCAGAGTATCTTCCCCCTGGTGGTCTGTGCATGTCATAGCGACTGTTCCACCATCTGCCCCCTGGTGGTCAGTGCATGTCATAGCGAGCAGTTGAGAAGCCTTAGCATATCATTAGCATGTTATGCTTTGATTGGTTGAATGGACAGCTGGACACTTAGCATATTAGGCTTTTGTTATGTAGGATATCATCCCAATAAATTTTTAAAATAGGGAAGGAGAAAAAACATGTATATGAGAAACTTGAAAAATTGGATTAAATTCTTGCCTCAAGATTTTTGGAATTTGATAGGATTTTTTTCAATGTTGGTTGACAACTGAGTTGGATATTCAGTATTTGTGATGCCAAAATACCAGTTTTGTATGCGAGAGGCATTAAGGATCTTGAAACGTAATCCTAATGTTTTGATTTATCTGTTCTAAGTCGGCATTTCTGAGTGCCTGTTAAGAGCAGGGTTTAAGAAGCTGAATTTATAACCGGTTAAATGGACTTTTCAGAGATTTAAGACGTTACTGGTTATATCTTATTTCCAAAAGGAATGCGTGGAATTCCTGAAATGAAACTCCTTTTCTGTGGCATTTCCCTGGGGGGCAGCCCTCCCCAGCATCTGAGGGTAGATGCTGTCCACAGCGAGAATTTCCAAGCATGGCAAATAATGTCATTGCAGTCATTGTAGGCATGTGAGAAAATATGAAGTTCATGTAAAGTAACAAAATATAGAATGTGGGGGTACTCATCTAAACTAATTTTTGGAAAGACTGCAATTATTAAACTTTAAAAAGTACCTAAAATTTTTGGCTAGCTCATCCACTTTGAAGAGAAATTATATTTCATTCTCCCAGAAGGTGATAGAAATATTACAAATTCTGCATTCATGAGCCAAAATAACCTGATATAATCAGAATAGACTTTTACACATTTTTGTTTCCTTTTTTACGAGGGAAATGGGACCACAAACAGGAAGCCAGGTATTGATTTCTTTAAAAAAAACTTTATTGTTCAGATTATTACAAATGTTCCTCTTTTTTTTTTACCACCATAGCTCCCCTCCACCTGGTTCCCACCCCACCCCATGCCCTTATCCCCTGCCACTGTCCTCACTGTCCATAGGTGTAAGATTTTTATTTCTAAGAAGAAAATTCTGAGACTTTCATGGACAGGTCTTTTACATTTTCCTGAAATTATGTTTCTCACTGCAAATTAATGTTCACAACAAACAACACTGACCCTCCAAGATGCCACGGCACGAAAGAGAGAGTCTGTTATGGTTCCCACTGGACAGAACTGAGAAATTGCTTGGTGAGGGGTTATTGCAACCACATGGTGGACTAAACGCGCCACACAATCCCCCCAGGAATGAATTCGTTACCAGCTCTATGCTTTAGGCACCAAAAACATTCCTCTGATCAACTCTGTTGGATAATTTTGAATTGGCGATCTCTTTTGACTTATCGTCCTCTGCTGCCATCTGGTGGTTACTAGGGAAATAAACCAAGTGGAGGAATCTAATGTTTACAACAATGGTTTGAGCTATTTGCTTCTGTGGAATAATAGAAATAAGGGACTCAAGCAGACACGTGCCTTCTGTCTCCAGGAAGAATTATGGTCGGTGGCATTCTTTCATTTACGTTCTGTATCTTTCACCTCGCCGAAATAGGCTGAGCGTAAAGCAATTGTTGCATAATGTATGAAGGACAGCATTTCCTGAGAGGTCTGCACAGCTCTGAGATGTCATTGTCTCTTATTCGAAAATATTTCCGTGGGGGGAGGGAGGAAGGACATCCATTTTCCCCTTCATTTTCGTTTGATCAAGGGAAGTCATTCCTTTCTGAACACTTGTCTAAAGTAGGTTTTGAAAAATATCCATCAGGTCCTTCCAGTAATGAAAAAGCTATCGCCAAGCAGCCGTGAGCAGGCTGATTTACCTCGACTGCGACTACTTCAGGTTTTATCGTTTTTTATCTTAATGAAACACGGTGCTATTATGCAAGTGGATCTGCTCTTACCTGCAGAATTATCTGCCCTGTAACGGAATGGAAGTCTCTTTGAGGCAATGCAATGCAGAAATACTTCCATTTATTCGCAGCAGATCATGAGTTAGCTTCTTTCAAAAAGGGGAGCTTTTGATCTCCCATTTATAATTTAAAACCAATTACTTGCTCCATCAGAGTTGTATATTATGAAAAACATTTTAATGTATATCATATTAAAGTTTAATTTTAATAATATTAATTATCACAATTGAATTAATTGTCAAACCAACTAAAGTCATTAGTCAGTATATACTAACCAATAATTTTTTTTTATTAACATTTCTATCCTATATAATAAAAGCCTAATATGCAAATCGACTGACCGGCAGAACAACTGGTGGGACGACCGGGTTGCTATGATGTGCACTGACCACCAGGGGGCAGACGCTCAACACAGGAACTACCCCCAGCCCGCAGGCCCCAGGCCGGCCAAGGCGGGTTGCCAGTGGGGGGCTCTGGATCGCCCCACCAGTCATCCTGCAGGGGCCAGGGCCGGCAAGTTGGCAGCACCAGGCCGGCCAAGGGGGTGGCAAGCTGGGGCCCCCC